CCTAATCTGCCATTCTGATCGTATATTGTTCATTAGAAACCTCTAGGGGTTTCCCACATCTACAGATTTTTAGGACCATTTAACCAGGATCCGGCATGATCTGACAGCATCTGATTGTTCCAACCTTGTCTTCCAGCACTTTGAAACAGACAACCCAGCCTGAATTTCAGGATTCTATGCTCATTCTTATTTCTCTTCTACGTGGAATGCTTTTTCTCTTCTCAAAATTCCAAACACACTCTATTTTTGTTACTGTGAAATGTTTCAAGCATACAGAAAAATAAAGAGAATGATATAGGAATATCTATGCACTCACCAACCACCGAGCTTTGTCAAGCCTTATCATTTTCCATGTTCTGTAGTGTTAAGAAAAATTATAGCCTTAGATATTTTTATAACCTCCTCAAATACAAACTCTTCTAAGTTGACCTCCTTGATGCACCCAATTAAATTTAAACTCTTTTGATTTCCTGTAACATTTTTCTTTGCATGTCTATCACGTGACCTGTTCTCCCCTTATAAAATATTTTGAGTATACCTTACTATTATCATTCTCATGGAGGGGTACAAAGATTATTTTAGGTAGTTTAAAGAAAAGACATTTAAAATTTTTTAAATTGTGAGGTTTTTTTTTAATGTTTATTTATTTTTGAAAGAGAGAAAGAGACAGAGTGAGAACAGGGGAGGGGCAGAGAGAGGAAGACAAAGAATCTGAAGCAGGTGCCAGGCTCTGAGCTGTCAGCACAGAGCCTGATGCAGGGCTTGAACCCACAAACTGTGAGATTATGACCTGAGCCAAAATCAGGTGCTTAACTGAGCCACCCAAGCACCCCAAAAATTGTGTTTATTTGAAAGTGTACATTAGATGGGCACCTGGCTGGCTCAGTTGATTGTCTGACTCTTGATTTCAGCTCAGGCCATGATCTCACTGTCATAGGATCGAGCCCCATGTGGGGCTCTGCATTGGGCATGGAACCTGCTTGGGGTTCTCTCCCTTCCTCACCCTCTGCCCCTCCCCTGCTTGCACTCACTCTCTCTCTCTGAAAAAGTAAAAATGAAAAAAATTGTAAAAAAAATAAACAAGAATGTACATTAGAATTCTATGTACACACAAGTATTTAAAATATATATGTCTAGATCAACCAACTCCATGATTTCCCAGATAATCCTTTAGGACATGGCTAAAGTAGGTAGAGATCATAGAAAATTATTGAATAACTAAAAATACAGATGATAAGGCAAAAATTTTGAAGAATGTATTTAAATAATTTAGCTTAGAAAACTTAGCTTGTTAGAACAGGGACCCAGTTTTATTTATTTTTGTATGTCCTAAGTACCCAACTAACCCAGAAAAGATGCTTATTGAATTTATTTCTCTCTGGGACAAGATCCGTGGAAATCATGTGGAGCCCCTTAAACCTTCGAACAGTCCACTCAAGTCATTTCCCCCACATTGAATGCCCCTGGCACATAGGCCAGAGACAGATAGTGCTTTCTTCCCTCTCTGCCCGTCTTGTCCATTATGACAAGTTGTCCCAGTTGGGGCTTGGTTGAGTATGAAATAATGCTGGTGATAGTCACATTCTAAAAGCATGAGGACTCCAGCTTGCTGGGATGCTCTCGTCAGCGTCGCTTCAACAGAACAGTCTCAGCAAATTTCCGTTTGTGGACCTCCCTGGTTCTTGGATCTGGTCCACCACACACACACACACACACACACACACAGCATACTCTATGTTTCAGAGAAACGTTTCTTGGTCTCCTTAAAATTCACTTTTTCGTGGCATTTCTTTCTTCCTCCCTCACTCCCTCCCTTCCTTTGTAGGCTTCGCTCCCAGTGCCAGTGCGGAGCCCAACATGGGGTTTGAACTCACGACCCTGAGACCAAGACTGGAGCTGAAGTCAAGAGTCTGACACTTAACCAGCTGAGCCACCCAGGTGCTCCTGGCATCTTTTCATTATTGTTAACACTGAACCATCTGAAGTCACATTGGCAACTGAATTTGGTCTTGAGACTCGGCAGTAAGGAATCGTTTTGTATAGCAAGTCCAATGCACAGTGTTAGCCAAATTATGTCATACAGTTACAAAACTCCTGTCCTGTCTTCCAGCTTGTCTGAGTAAATGTGACTCTTTGAAAAGTTTTGCTCCTCCTACCTTAAAATGACCTTATATGCTCTCAAATAGAGAGGATCCCAAGTGTGATGAAATCCTTCACTTTATTTCCTTTCTTCTAGCTTGCTTAAATTTTAAGGCGGTGTTTTGGGAGGGTAGGGAGTAGGGGGAACCCCTGAGACCTGTGAGTCACAAAAGGAGATCAGAACGTGTCTACAGTTTGATTGAACCCTCAAAGCTTCACTCATACTGGCCTCTGGGAGAAGCCTGTGAAACTTCTGTATACGGCTTTAGCGTCTTTTGTTTCCTAATCCTACTGCTAAGGCACAGGTCTTTGCTGATCTTAAAACTCCGTGAAAGGACTAGCTTATAACCCGGGTATATAACCTACACTTTATCATCCAAATGAGGACACTTTTATAAATGAAATGGGGGTACTAGGAAGAAAAGCATAAACCACCCAGGGAAACCATGATGTTTAGTTGCCATAGTTGAAACATTCTGAGCCCCTTATCCTCTATAGCAGACCCTTTCAAACTGGGGACTAGTTTTTTTGTTTTTGGCTTTTTTTGTTGTTTTTCCTCCCAGGGGAGGGGACTAGTTTGCAACTTGAAAGTCTGTGGGGTTTCTTAGAGAATTTGAAGTTTAGTTTTCATTTCAATGAAATGCCTGTGTTTGCATTGTTTACACTTATCCATTGTTTGTCCCTAAGTGGGAAAACTTTAATTGTCCCTGGTCAGAAAGAGAACAGAGGCAGATTTCACTCCAGGTAAGGAAATGTTCAAGCCAAGCCAAGTTAAGGGACAGCATGGCCTGTAAATAAAGACGTGTAGTAGCTCTGAAAGAGAAGAGTAAAATGTGATAGCAGGATACTACGTTTTATAGTGTACTGTATTCATTTTGCAAGAGGATTTGGAGTTTCAGCAAAATGCCATGCATTACATTAACAATATTAATGTGTATTTAATTTTATAAACTTTTCATTCATAAGTTTGTGTTGCTTTGGGGCGCCTGGGTGGCTCAGTTGGTTAAGTGTTCAACTTCAGCTTGGGTCATGATCTTTCAGTTTGTGAATTTGAGCCCCGTGTTGGGCTGTGTGCTGAGAGCTGGGAGCCTGGAGCCTGCTTTGGATTCTGTCTCCCCCTCTGTCTCTGCTCCTCCCCTACTTGTGCTCTGTTTCTCTCTCTCAAAAGTAAACATTAAAAAAGTAATAAATAAATTTGTGTTGATTTAATAAGAGCATAAGGAGCTTTCATACAACTAGATTTATGTTAGTACATATTAAAGAAGCATGACAACAAAAAATAATTTAATTTTGAAGGTCCACAGGAATTTTAAAAGTTTAAGAGTCCATTCTCCAGCTTAGAGCTTTGTCCTTCTAACCCAACTATGCCCTCTGGTGGTTAAAGTTGCTAATAGAAGCAAAATACTCCCTTTATAAATGTAGATTCATTTGTAGGTCAGCGGTGCAGCAGATTAAACAATTTCCTTGTAGAAACTGTTATAAACAATGGCAGTTACTGCAGGATAGCCCCCAAAACCCCACGGTGGTTCTATGCCACTTGGTCTACAACCTTCTTTGCCTTCCTTCACTGCCCTCCTTGATGGCTAAACGGATCAGCATCTCCACAGTCACTGTTAACACCACTACTGCTCTGTCCCCATCACTTTCAGAAGTAGAAAGAGGAGGGAAGTGAGTTAGTGCTTCGGTAATTCCCACATCTTTACTTATAGGCATAACTTGTGCTCTGAAACTCCTACCCCTCCTGGGGCCTTCAGCGGAATGGGCCCCCTAGACGGAAACTTAGAGGTCCTCTTTGGTTCTTTCCAAATCTTGGGGTAAATAATCTTCCTTCCTTTTCTTTTGCCCCACCCAGAGCTCCTCTTAGTTCTTCAGGGTCAGAGTCATCTTCCAAGTAGAAGGCAACAAGGAAGGAAAAGCCGACTAGAAAAAATGGAAAGAAAAGAAAATGCTTTGACCCAAGGTTTCCCCAGACCTAGAAGCCAGAAGTCTCTGATATCAAACCACTAAACCTTCAAACACCTTGTCTCCTCCATGCTTGACAACTTCCCCTCACCAGTCCCTTCTGGGAGAGGAAGGGTTGAGGGAAGACTCAATGTCAAGGCACTTGGTGTGTGTCATACCAGCAGCACTTAAGCAGTTAGCTCTTATTTGTACTGTGTGATTCCAAAGTAAGAGACAGGGACGATGTGGACCGTGCTCTGTCTAGACAGATACAAATCCCATTTTCAAGGGACTAGAAGAGGGCCTCCTGGGTGGCTCAGTAGGTTAAGCATCAGACTTAAGCTCAGGTCATGATCTCACAGTTTGTGGATTTGAGCCCCATGTCAGGCTCTGTGCTGACAATTTAGAGCCTGGAGCCTATTTCTGATTCTGTGCCTCCTCTCTCTCTTTCTCTTCCCCTCCCCTACTTTCTCTCTCTCAAAAATAAATAAACATTAAGAAATTCTTAAGTAAGATAAAGGAACTAAAAGAACTGTTCAGAAGATTATGTAATCCATTTATAGTAACAATTAGGAAAATTTATGATTTTAACAAAGTAGGAAAAAATAGCAGGAACATACAGAGAAGTGAAACACTTCAGCTAGTTAGAGTACCTGACCGTGGTACATTATTTCATTTGGAATTACCCTAACATTGACATGATGTATAATTTTACTTATAATAAATGGAAACATTCTTGATTGTTTTATCTATTGCTGTTTAGTAAACCACTTGGTGGTGGGGGAAGGGCGGGGAGTAGGAAAGACTTAGAAGATGAAGATGGCCAGCAGGGAAACTGCTGATGGCTGTCAAGGGTTTTTTATACATACCAGCAACACCACACTGTGATATGAATTTTTTCCTCTTTATTATTCTTGTAGGTAAGGAAAGGAAACGAAAGCAGGAAGCATTGGAAATATATACGAGTTCTTTCCTGTGAAGGTGAGCTTGGTTATTTTTCTGTTGAATTTTGGTAAAAGAGCAAGGATTAGATTAATTAATGATTAATATCAAATGAAGATTAGTGAGAATAGGTAGGGTACTTAATACTTCCTAAATATTTGTATTTAGGTTTTTATCTGCATCATGTATCCTATTTGAAAATAATGTTTCTATTAAGTACAAAAATAAAATACTTCGAGTGTGACAAAATAAATTAACAAAAAAACAGCCCAAAGCTCAGAAGCTTAGAACAACCCTTTATTTAAAAACAAAACAAAACAAAGTTGAGCTCATAGAAACAGAGTAGAAAGTGCTTGCTTGGGTCTAGGGAGAAGGAGAGATAGGGAGAGGTTGCTACCTCTCCAAATTTTCAAGGGTACAAACTTTATTTTTAATTTTTTTTAATTTTTATTTTTGAGAGAGAGAGAGTGGGGGAGGAGCAGAGAGAGAGGGAGACACAGAATCTGAAGTAGGCTCCAGGCTCTGAGCCACCCAGGTGCCCCTTACAAACTTTTAGTTGTAAGATGAAGAAGGTTTGAGAATCTAATGTATAACATTGTGACCATAGCTGATAATACTATATTATATAATTGAAACTTGCTAAGAAATTAGAACTTAAATATTTTCATTTAAAAAGGTGAATATGGGGGCGCCTGGGTGGTTCAGTTGGTTAAGCGTCCGACCTCGGCTCAGGTCATGATGTCCCTGTTTGTGGGTTTGAGCCCCGCGTCGGGTTCTTTGCTGACAGCCTGGAGCTTGTTTCTGATTCTGTGTCTCCCTCTCTCTTCTCCTCCCCGCACATGTGCTTGCTCGCTCTCTCTCTCAAAAATAATAAACAGTAAAAAAAATTAAAAAACAAAAGGTGACCGGGGTGCCTGGGTGGCTTAGTTGGTTAAGCGTCCGACTTTCACTTAGGTCATGATCTCACAGTTCGTGGGTTCGAGCCCCGCGTCGGGCTCTGTGCTGACTGCCAGCTCAGAGCCTGGAGCCTATTTCAGTCTGTGACTCCCTCTCTCTCTGACCCTCCCCTGCTCACGCTGTCTCTCTCTCTGTCTCCTAGAAATAAACAAACATTTAAAAACAAAAAAAAACAAAAAAAAAAACCAAAAGGTGACCATGTGAGATGATGGATGGGTGAAGGGAAATCACATGGTACGTTCGTAAATATCTTACAGTTTTCTCAATTACACTTCTATAAATCTGGAGAAAAAATTCAGTCTTTTATTGTATGTCACAACACTGTGGATTGGCCCGGTAGTCTTGTATAGGCCTCACTCGGGGTCTCTCATGAGTTTGCTGGGAGGCGAGCACTGGGGCTGGGGCTGCTCCCTTCTCTGTGGCCTCCTTCGCCCATTCCCTGAGTCCATTCCTTCACTCAATGCAGAAGAGACACTGTGCTGGGCACCACTCCAGTTGCTGGGTCATCATATTGAACAGGACAAATGAAGGCCAGACCCTCACCGAGCTTACATTGTTAAATTCTTACATTGCAAAAATACCCAGGTAAACAAATACATTGCGATGTGATGTAGGTGGGTAGGAGGCTACTTTGGAGAGGTGATCAGAGAAGCCCTCTTTGAAGTAACACTTGAAGACCTGGGGGAAAAGGATTTGCTAGGGCAAGTTTCTAGGGCTTGAAAGGACTCGGGGTTTTAAAGGAACGCCACAGAAGCCAGTGTGTTTGAGGAATAGAAAGTGAGGAAAGCAATTGGGTTAGGTCACAGAATTAGTCAGAGGCCAGGTCGTGAAGGGCCCTAAAAGTTATTAAGGACTTTGGATTTCTTCCTGGGTAATAGGAAGGTTTTAAATCATAAATGTGTTGATTCTCTTGTTCAAAAGATCACTCTTAGAGAAAGGATTGTAGGGTTCAAGGTTGAAAACAGGGAGACTAAATAAAGAGGCTGTTGCAGTAGGTGCTGGAGGCTTGGACAGGGTGAAAGCTGTAATTCTGGGAAGTCCATAGATTCCAAATTTATTTTGACGGCATTTCCAATAAGCATTGCTGATAGGCTGCATTAGGTGAATGAAAAGAAAGAAAAAAACACAGCGGTTTCTCAAGTTTCTCTTGTGAGCAGTGGGATGAATGAAGTACCATTCACTGAGGAGAAGGCTGGTAGAAGAACAGATTTTTTATTTGGGGTGATGCAAGAAGAAAATATAAAATTTAATTTGAACATGTTTAAGTATGTTATGCTTGCTTAATAATTAGCAATTGAACTAGATAGCTTGAGGTTTATCCAAGCTGCAAAAATAAGCCAGGTTATAACAAAGTGTCCTACTATCTGGGAAATTAGAATAAATGGTAAGTATTTAAAGTCTAAGTTCATCAAGCCAGTTAGTATTTCTATTAGGATAATAGCTACAATTTATTGAAGGCTTTTCGTTTGAACCATATGAAATTGTGGATATCAACAATTTTGAATTTGAAATGGCAATGCCGTATGGTTTGTCCCAGTATATAGTAGCCATAGAATTATGTGTTTATATATAAATGAATAAATATTCACAAAAACCCTTAAGGTAGGCTTTTTGTTATCTTACAGTTGATAAAATGGGAGTTCTGAAAGAGGTTAACTAACGTAACAAAGGGAGGGGGACAAGGAAGTAGACAAGAGGGAATGAAAACATGGTCTTTCTGACATAGCATCTGAACTTTAAGCCACAAAGTCATACTACCAAGATCTCTAGCCAAGGAGTCATGCTGCCTTCCAAATGAGGAAAGCCTCAGACCTCATACACACAGATATGCAGATACAAGAGTGCTTGGTCTGACTGGATGGAGAATGCTGACTGCCTGTCTTCTAGAGAGACCAAAGTCCAAGTGGACCTTACAAACCAGCACTGCATTTTACAAGTAGATACACTGAACAAAAAGAAATCAGATAGTTAATACTATTAAAAGTTTCTCCAAAATTGCCATTCAATTAATTTCTTAAAGAAATTTCCATATTCCCTTCCATAATTATCACTGAACCTCTCTATGCTACGAATATGTTAAATATAAAACAAGTGAGTCTAACCTCAGAGAAAGAATATATAATGTCACAGGTTGGAGCTTATCACCAGTCAGCAAACTTTGACCACTTTTATCAAATGCCTCAAAGCACATCTATTACTGTACTGTCAGGCATTCCTATACACTATTAAAAGTATTGCTATCTGTGAGTGGGATGCAATTTGGAAACATGTAAAATATGTCATCAATTATAGGGACTTCAAGCTTTTCCCTCTTTACAGTTTCTAGATTATCTAGATTTCAGTAAAATGAACACTATGTGTAAATCAATTAGGAACTCTATAAATACAGTATTATCAGTTTGATCCATTAGTACTTAGTTGTTTAAGTCAAAGGCTGAAAAAGTTTATGTAATTAAAAAGCTCTCTGTCTACCTGTGGGAAGAATATTTCCCACATAGCTCTTGCACTGATAGTGTCAGTTAGAGTCAACTATTCCTGGTGGTAAGCAACAGAAATAGTCACTGGGCAATTAAATCACACTCCCACTAATGGAAAATCAAATTTTTTATTTAATAAGCAAATGACTCTGAGGCACCAGGGTGGCTCAGTCGGTTAAGTGTCTGACTCTTGATCTTGGCTCAGGTCATGATCTCACAGTTAGTGAGTTGGAATCCCACGTTGGGCTCTACTCTAGCAGCACAGAGCCTGCTTGGGATTCTCTCTCTTTCTTTCTCTCTATCCCTCCCCAACTTGCACTTCCTCTTTCTCTCTCATTCTTGCAAAATAAATAGATAAATAAATAAATATTTAAGAAATAACCAAATGAATCTGTTCTTCGATGCTATATTGATCAGGGGCTCTCTGAGCATAGTAGCTAGTATAGTAGCTACTCCCTGCATTTGTGCAAAAAAAATAAAGCCAGTACTTATTTTTTTAAGGGCCAGTACTTATTAATCTGTAAGTTCTCAGCCAGCTTCAGTGTTATTTTAGTAATAGCAATGGTAATAATAATAATAAATACTATGTACCAAATCCTTACTACATGCCACATACCATGATATGTTGCATTACAACATTTTTGCATTAAAATCTCCTAACAACCCAATGGGATAGGTTGTATTATCTTTGTTTTGACTGAAGCTTAGAGATGTTAAGTAACTTCCCAATGTCCAAAACGTGTGCAGAGCTGAGATTTAAACTCAACCATTTTGGCCTCAAAACCCATGCTCTTCCCCCTATTGTGTGTGTGTGTGTGTGTGTGTGTGTGTGTAAAACAGTAGAGCTGATTACTGTGGGTTTACTCTCAGTGCAGGTGATAAATGGCAATGCCTGTATTATAGAAGTGGTCAGAGTCTAGAATCTTGAGCCCAGCCTGAAAACTAGCTATATGTGCTTGCTTTTTGGTGATCCTTTGTATTGTAAAAAGTTATATGTGTGATTTCCATATTGAAAATTTTTCTACAATTTGACTTCCTACAGGTAATTACTTTGTAGCTGAAGTCAATATTTAATCAACCTAATGTGTCTGATTACTTTTTTAAAAAAAATTTAATGTTTATTTCTTTTTCAAAGACAGAGAGAAACAGTGAATGAGCAGGGGAGGGGCAGAGAGAGAGGGAGACACAGAATCTGAAGCAGGCTCCAGGCTCTGAGCTGTCAGCACAGAGCCGGATGCGGGGCTCAGACCCATGGATCGTGAGATCATGACCTGAGCCGAAGTCAGCTTCTTAACCTATTGAGCCACTCAGGCACCCCAAATGTGTCTGATTACTTACAGAGATGGATTCTTTACTGATTTTCTTGGCTTTAGCAACAATGCAAAAAACACCATAGGAAAGAACTGTGGAAACATAAGCCTTTAAAATATGTATTAATTTTGTTTCCCCTCCCACACTATGCAAACGCATAGACAAATGTCATAAGAAAATCAAGATGACAAATTACTCAACCATTAGCTTTCAAAAATTCCACTGATGTAGTCCTACTTGGAGAGATTCAGATGCATTCTGACAGAGCTTTTGCTCCCAGAGATGAAATAAAGTATACTCTCAGAGAGAAGAGAACAGTGGGAGAAGGGAGCCCATCAAGCACCTGTCTAAGGCATGCAGGAGAGAAACCCAAGCCCTCTGCAGAGCCAGCACTGCTGTCAGCCCAGAGCCAAGGTATTGTGTAGAAGCTGAGGCAGAGCTGCTTTGACCCTCTTGGTGTCATTCTGTGGGTTCCACCATTCACCAGGGGTCAGCCCACTGTCCATCATTAGTCTAGTTTGAAATATTGCTTGCATTTGTCCCAAGAATCTTTTCACATTCTTCTGATTGACCATCTTTTGGAAGCAATCCCTCATCTAACAGCTCAGGACATTCATAAACACCATTCTGTTCCCCCCATCTCCACTCCAGATTGGAAACGAGAAGATTTGTAGTCTTTGATGGATGATAGTTGAGAGCCTTGGCTGCTTTGTGGAGTGATGTTGGTGACGGCTGAAAGAGAAATGTTTGGTCCAAAGAACGCAGGATTATTTGGAATCAATGTGAAACCATCCATTGAGCCAGGATGGCAGAGAAATGCACTACCCCATCACAGAGTCTTAAGAAGTGTGTTGTCACAGGCAGAGAATGTTAGAGGCACAAGAGCTTGGAGAACATCTAATCTCACCCTTCCACATAGCAGAGGAGGCCCAGAAAGGAGACCTGATTTGTTTGAGGTCAAATAGCTGGTTAATACCTTAGCCACAACCAGTAATAAGATGTCTTGAGTGAGTTTAATTCTCTCTCCAATTCACAGCACAGACAAATCTGGCTTGGGAGCTCTTTCTTTGGGTTTTTCCCAGATCCTCTTTCACGGCATGATAAGTCAAATAGAGGACCCACTTCCTAAGTTCTTAGAAGCCCAAATTCAATAGCTCACAGTGATATCAAGGTTAAATTTTTGTTGGATTTGTTTATTATCATAAGATACAGTGAAGACATTTTTTAGATGGTTGGGAGAGCCATACTGCTTATAGACAATTTCTCTTTCACAGAGAATATGAATAGACCGCTCACACTAGCCCACGGGGGCCTGAAACCGAGCACCAGAATGCATTTAATTGTATCGACGAAAGCCCAAGCTTCCTCCCTCGTGATAAATGAGGAACTGACTTTTCTTAGAGCTATGCCTGTGTTCTTCTGCTCTTTCTCCAGCGAATACTTACTTTACTAGAACTCTTACAGGTGGAGAAGCAGGGGTGGACACTTGCTCAGCATTTCTCGCACAATCACTTTGTAATTTCCACTCTACACTGTTTATCGCTGGGTATTTCAGTGGCTTCATACCACTCATCATTATTATACCAACAAAACTCATCCGGTTGCACTTTCTACATTGGCTCTCCTTGGGCTTCTGTTTCCTTTATAGTTTTCTATTTTTAGAAACTTTTTTTTGGAAAAGCTCATTTTTAGCACCACTTTATGTATGTCCTTGTATTTAAAGTTGCTTCTTGGGGGCAGATAAACAACAATTTAAAGACTTCTCTTATAGCTATTGATGGAACATTTCAATAAAATCTGTTTATAAGGGAGCCAGATATTAAATAAGTCAAAAAAGTTTTCTCATAAATATTAGGTTGACTCCTGATTAACATTTTAGATTCTTATTAACGTTTCACACATTGTTTCTGTTCGACCAATTTCAGAACTTCATGAAAAAGCTGAGTGGTAGGTTGGGTAATAGGATACCACGATGGGAGCCTTTTTTCCAAGGCTGGCATGTGAATAAAGTACCTGCAGATCATAAAAAGAAACAAAATAGCTTTGAAAACAAGAATTTTCACATTGCTCACAGCACTGTGTACACACTCACGGGTGTAGGGCTGTTGGATATGGGGGTCTAAGCCATAAGACTCAGCCAGTATTCTCAGCGGTGTGATGTCCCTTGTTTGTGACCTAGAACATCTCTGCTTTGTGTGCCTTTCCTCTGACTGAGACACTTTACTTCAGCAAAGGAAATGAATTTCATTAATAATGTCTCCATTCTGAAGACATTACTAGGGAAGCCAGCGCTGTCCTCACCACCGTGTGTGCTGAGCATCTTGCATCTTGCTTCCTCAGGCAACACACAGGAATTTGAAATGAAAGGGTCAAGTTGTGCTGACCCAGAGGCCCCACTCAGGAGGGAAGAGCAGGATTCAACCCCATGGTCTCTGTAAAAGTTCAGGAAAGGCCAAGGGAAGAAAAAGAAGTGAGAAAACCTTTGGCCCTCCCCTGATGGCTTAAAAGATAGGTTCTCAATCCTGGGTGCACAAGAATCACCTGGGAGAGGTGGGGGGTTTTTGTTTGTTTGTTTGTTTTTAATGTCAATACCCAGGATCCACTGCAGACAAAATGAACACTCAGTGAGACCTGGGTGTCAGTATTACTTAAGTTACTCTGATGAGTCTAATGCATGCAAATTGAAAGTCACTACAACAAGGATCACAAGCCTAAATGCCCACGGATAACCAATTAGGAGGAGTGTGGTGGGGTAAGAGCAGAGAGGAGGCAGTGGCACACTAATGAAGCATATAAGAGGGAAGCAGCTCCTGACCTCTGGCCAACTCTTGTCACGCAGGAATGTGACACCATTTTGGCATCTGTTCCGATTTTTAAATGTGCATAACTAATCATTTAAAAATTGGGCTGTGTGATACATGCTACAACATGGATGCGCCTTGAAAACATCATGCCAAGTGAAAGAAGCCAGACACAAAAGGCCATATGTTGTATGATTCTGTTGATGTGGAATGTCCAGAACAGACACATCCACAAAGAGAGAAAGTAGATTAGGGGTTGCCAGGATCTGGGGGGGAGGGGAGCATAGGCTGTGACTGCTTAAAGGGTACTACGTTTCTTTGGAGGTGATGAAAATATTCTGCAATTAGGGGCGCCTGGGTGGCTTAGTCGGTTAAGCGTCCGACTTTTGCTTAGGTCATGATCTCGCGGTTCGTGGATTCGAGCCCTGTGTTGGGCTCTGTGCTGACTGCCAGCTCAGAGCCTGGAGCCTATTTCAGAGTCTGTATCTCCCTCTCTCTCTGACCCTCCCCTGCTCACGCTGTCTCTCTCTCTCTCCTAGAAATAAATACATTTTTAAAAAAAGAAAAAATATTCTGCAATTAGTGGTAATGGTTGCACAATATTGTGAAATGTATTGAAAGCCACTGAATTGCACACTTCAGAACGGTGAATTTCATGCTGTATGAAAAATGGTGAATTACATGCCATACCTTAAAAAAAAAAACCTGAGAGGGCACCTGAGTGGCTCAGTTCTTTAAGCTTCCGACTTTGCTCAGGTCAGGATCTCATCGTTTGTGAGTTTGAGCAAAGCACCAGGCCCTGCTCAGAGCCGAAGCATGGAACCGGCTTCAGATTCTGTCTCCTTCTTTCTCTGCCCCTCCCCCGACTGCATTCTGTCTCTCTCAAAAATAAATAAATGTTAAAAAAAAAAAAAAGGAAAAAATTAGGTTTTGTGGACCAATTCAGAGCAGGCCAAGGAAAACCATTTTATAGAAGCCAGAGTGGGACTTATGGTGTAAAACCACATGGAGAAAAAACAGGGTCCACAAATCAGGCTGCAGTGTTTTAAAAAGCCAGTCTAACATAATGTATGCCTTCACATCCTTCCAGGTCTGCAACCAAACTGGTAGCAAAGCGGTGCCTGCTGTACCCTTTTCATCTTCAGTCACACACAAGCTGGGTTTTTTCCTTGATAGGTGCTAATGCAGAGCTGAGTGGCTGCCAGCCTATAAATAGAAGTAGGAGCCCCTGAGGCGCAGAACGAGCTGCCGGCTGATGAAACTAGCGTCTGTTACTGCTCTCCCTTTCTGTTTTGTTACTGAGGGAGAGAGGGGTAAAGAAAACAGACAGTAATAACCACACTCATTAATTGTTTCTCCTTTATCAATTGCTTTTTTCCCAGTGCGTCCCTTAAATTCACAATCCCTAATTTATCATCCCCTTCAGTAGGGTTTGTTACTCTTAATTACTCACAGCATGTTAAAATCATGACGGCTTCTGTGAGGCGTTGGCTACAACAAAGACTAAGTGAAAAACAGCTCTTCAAAGAGTTTGACGTTCTGTTCGTCTCTGCTAGCCTGGAAATACACTTCCAATGGCAATGGCTTACGAGCTCCCCCAAATCCTACTTTACCACGGATCAAAGTGAAGTATTACTAAAAACAAAAATAGAATTGCCCACCATCACTTCCATCTTCTAAGTATCAGGCCATGTTGCAGAAATGAGTGGATCTGACTGCAGATTAGATTCAGACTTTCCTTACCTGAATTCTTCTCTGTAGTCATTCCTAATATACTCTGCTAAAGTCTGGCTGTACTGCAGGCAGCTCTTGAGGATGGAAAACTGCTGATACAGCAGAACGGCTTGGCTGGGACTTAGCAGCCCAAATGAAGCTGCAAGTCCCTTTACCACTTGTTTCACAATACTGGCCACGAAAGTGATCTAAACAAGAAAAAAAACAGTTACAATGTAGGCTGCATGCCACCCATAAGGCACCTGTTTCAGCCGGAGCGTCACCTAGACATCTAGGCTGACGTCCTCCCTTCCCTTACACCAATACTGCACTGTTCTCACTGAAGTGGTACTCAGAGAACACCAGACCGTACACCAGTTGGGTTTACTGATCGCTGCTCTCAAGCAGGATTGGAATCAATGCTGACCATCAAGGAAATTTGGTTCCAATGTAAAAGAAGAACACTGGAAGCAAGAGTGGGGACAGAAGAGGAGCTTGGAAAGGTCTGTGGCCTCCCCCAGGAGGGAAGATAGTCTCTCTTCTCTTCTGTGAAGAACAAATGGCCCACGGAAATAAATTTCCTGGGACTTTCAAAGAGGGTTCCTCCAAGGTGGTGGTTCTCAAAATTTAGTACACATAGTAAAAAATCACCTAGGCAGCTCACTAGACATGTGGAATCCTGAGCCCCGCCGCAAGGTACTTACCATAAACAATTCCAATGGCTTTGTTCCACAGACAACATCTTGACAAACGCTAAGTGAGAAAGCTAGGAAAACCAGGCTTGACACAAACAAATGATGTTGATGTCACTGTTAGCTAGGGTTTTCATTGAGAATATGCTATCTTTTCCGAGAGGGAAAGCCTCCTCCAAGGAGGCTTGGTTTGTCTGGCTTGGTTTGTAGAACATGTGACTCTTGATCTTGAGATCATGAGTTCAAGACCCATGTTGGGTGTAGAGATTACTTAAACACACACACACACACACACACACACACACACACAAAAGGGGTGCCTGGGTGGCTCGGTCAGTTAAGCTACTATAAGAATAGAAAGGAACACTAGTGAGAAAGAAACACTACTATACTTTCAGGCTCTAACGAGCAGGTCCCTTTGAATGCCCATTAAATTAGTATCAATAAATGTATTGCCTTTTCTATTGATGCTGCTTCTGGCCCTTCCTAAGTAAAACAGGTGGTTTGAAGTGGGTTTTCCCTTGGGGCACCTGCGTGGCTCAGTGGATTAAGCATCTGACTTCCGCTCAGGTCATGATCTCACAGTTCGTGGGTTCAAGCCCCACATTGGGCTCTGTGCTGACAGCTCAGAGCCTGGAGCCTGCTTTGGATTCTGCGTCTCCCTCTCTCTTTCCCTGTCCCGTGTTCGTTTTCTCTCAAAAATATAAAAAAAAAATTTTTTTTTTGAAGTGGGCTTTCCCCATTCCAGATCTGTTTACACACATATTGACTTGATACTGTCAGGCAAACACAGATTGAGGTGAGAGAGTCTGGAGCCGTAGAACAAAGCAATGACCATTTGGGGATTAAACTTTCAGCTTCTTTTGCAATCTTGCTCTAACCAAGTAAGTGAGGCATCCAGAGCTGACTGACATGTGGGTATATTCAATGATCACAACAGTTTTCTTGCGTGCACGTTTCTCTCAAAAGGCCTGCTTCTACCCGTATAGAACTGGGTTAATATTGAAGCTTTCAGCAAGACTAGCGGTTCTTTTGCCCCCCTTTCATCCTGGCATACGTGATGGTCACAGACTGGCTTCATACTCAACTCCATTCCTTTGGTGAACCAACCCTAGAAGTTGATAAAGAAACTTCCCTATGGCTTGGAGCCCTTAGTACCCTGACTTCACACGTCTGTTCAGATGAGAGGGTCTGCAGACACTGCACAGAAAAAGTAAGGCTCTTGCATCTTGCACATAAGAGCTTCTGTTGCTGTCAATGACTAGAACTTTCTGACACTTCTCAAAGCAGGCCAGAGACTAGTTAGCATCTGTGTGCCGCTAGAGGAGCCAAGTTCATGGGCTCAGTCTCTGTGTACGGCAGCTGGCTGTACTATTTTGGCCCTAACCAGATTTCTGTGGGATCTGGCAAGACAATCTGGATTCCCCAGGAGAGATTCAGAAAAGGAGGGAACCACTCCTCAGGTCAACAGAAAGAGAACATATCTCCTGTCAAATCCTCCATTAGCAGGTTTACTGCTTTTTGAAGAGATCTCCAATTAAATTTATGTTGATTGAATGTATGAATATATGAATGAACAAAGGAAAATTAAGTTTGGGGAGATGGGAGGAGATTATGGGATCTATTATGTGCCCAGCACCACAGACATAGCTCCCACCCTCATGGCACTTGGAGACTCTTTGAGGAGAATGACATCATGTCGGCCTTGATACACTAGGTTATGCTGTGGTAACACATTTCGCAAAATATTGATGCTTTGCTGAACACAACAAAGGTTTATTACTTGCTCACACTGTATATCCCCTATGGGTTGGTAAGGACTTCAGTTCACTGTAGTTACTCAGGACCATATAGGACGATGCCAGTCACCATGCCAGAAGGAAAGGAGAAGGCGGAGAAGCATGAACTTGCTCTGAAACCTTCTGGCAAGAAGTGACACAGGCTACTTATGCTCACATTCCACTGGCCAAAGCAAGAACAGAGACCTACCTAATTCTAGTGAGGAGGGAAGTACAATCCTACCAGGGGCCTGGAAGAAGAGAGAGCCAGAATATACATGGGCACTCCTAACTACCACAGGAAAGAACCAAAGAGTAACAAACAAATGCCGACTGCAACAGTAACAAGTCTCGTGAAAGGAAGGAAGAAGACACCAACCTATGACTATATGTGCCAATAATGGGGAATCTGACCTAGTCAGAGGTGAGAAAATCACCCCCTGCCCCCGAAGCCTGTTCAGGAAAGAGCACTGAAGCCTGAAGGATTAGTAGGAGTAAACTCACTGGGAAAAGGAGGGAAAAGCATTTCAGACAGACAGAAGGAACAGTGAAGGTCCTCTGATAGACTTGGAAGTGTTGAAGGTGGGCAGTGAGTAAGAGGCCCCCATAATTGGGAGAGTGAGGGACTAGATGAGCCTTGTAGACCATCTCTTTTTTTTTAATGTTTGTTTTTTGAGAGAGAGACAGAGACAGAGCCTGAGCAGGGAACGGAAGGGACAGAGGGAGGGAGACACAAAATCTGAAACAGGCTCCAGGCTCCAAGCTGTCAGCACAGAGCCCAACATAGGGGCTCAAACCCATAAACCTTGAGATCATGATCTGAGCTGAAGTGGGACACTTGACTGACTGAGCCACCCAGGAGCCTCTAGGTTTAGTTGTTTTTTTTTTTAATTTATTTTGAGAGAGAGAGAGTATGTGCAAGCAGGGGAGAGGCAGAGAGAGAGGGAGAGGGAGAATGCCAAGCACTGACAGTATAGAGCCTGACACAGGGCTCAATTTCACAACCATGAAATCATGACCTGAGCTGAAATTAAGATCTGGAGGCTTAACTGACTGAGCCACCCAGGTGCTCCATGCTATCTCTTTATCATGAGAGATTTAAAGCCAGCCATGACATAATCAGATTTCTTTAAATAGATCCCTTCCACTAGTCTGGTGGGAAGGTAGGACAGACCATGTAGATGTGATTGTGATATCAAGGAGTCAGTGATACTATGGGCTAGGATGGTGGCTGACCAGACAGAGTTCCCCACTGATCCCAAGTGTTAATTCATACTCGCCAACTCTTACTTGCTGCTTAAGATAAATGTTCATTTTGGGGCACCTGGGTGGCTCAGTCGGTTGGGCGTCCGACCTCGGCTCAGGTCATGATCTCATAGCTTGTGAGTTCGAGCCCTGTGTTGGGCTCAGTGCTGACAGCGCAGAGCCTGGAGCCTGCTTCTGATTCTGTGCCTCCCTCTCTCTGTATCTCTCCCCTGTGTGCACTCTGTCTCTCTCTCTCTGTCAAACATAAAGATTCAAAAAAATTTTTTTAAGATATGTGTTCATTTTTTTCACTTACATATACAGCCAATATTTTAATATATTCTATTTTCTACAGAATATATTTTACGGCTTTTCATTAAATAAAGATCATATTTAAGATATCATTTCAGGGGCAACTAGGTGGCCCAGTTGGTCAGGCATCCGACTCTTGATTTTGGCTCAAGCAATGATCTCATGGTGGATTGAGCCCCTTGTTGGACTCTATGCTGAGAGCACAGAGCCTGCTTGGGATTCTCTGTCTTCCTCTCTCTCTGCCCCTCCCCCACTCATGCCCGCACATGTGCACACTCTCTCTCTCTTTCAAAATAAATAAATATTTTAAAAACTTAAAAAAAAAAGATATCACTTCAGTACTGTAAGCACTCAGGCTCCGAATGTAAGAAATGCTTTATCTTCGATAATAAAATCATCAGATTTACATTTTGCTTCTGTTTTATAAATGTGACTACTTATAGAGAAAACTTGTGTTTTATTAATTATTAAGCACGGGAGCACCGGTCTAATTAGCTGTGAGTGGTGGTTTCATTTTTGTGCCTTGGTACTTACAAAGGGAGGACAACTTTGTAGGAAGGGCATCATCCAGCCAATAGCAAACTCTGCTGGTCCCAATCCAAGATTTCCCTAAAAGACTCAAGGAAATTAAGAAGGTATTCATGAAGTTCAAGTTGTATGTGAAAGGATATTCATTCTCAAATACATTTTATCTTGATTGATGAAATCTTTAAAATTGGTATTTAGAAAAAAATTAAAATCAGTATTTAGGAAAATAAGCTGATGAATACTTAAGAGCAAAGGTAGTATCATTTAAGTCGGACAATTTTGGAGACCATCTCTAATACAAGTATATTAAAGGTATATTGTTAATCATTTGATATATAATCATAGATATATATAATAGTCATATGACATATATAGCAATCATACAATATAATATGTGTAATAAAAGTATATATTGTACCTGCTGAAAGACAAGAAGTATCTCATATAAAAGTGCCGTAGCTGCATCTATATATTCCTTGATAAGGTTCTGTAACTAGAATTTTAAATAATAATCAATGTAATATCATTGGCAGAGCCAGAAAATGGTAATTTCTCCTGGTTACCTTTAGGTACTTATGAAAGAATTTTTGATTAACTGAAAATATAATTAGTGTGGTCAGTTTTCCTATTCTGTTTGGTTCAGTCATTCTCAAAAGAAAAAAAAGCTCTCATAAAAAAGATTACTTGAGGTGTCTGGTGACTCAGTCTTGATTGAGCCAACTCTTGATTTTGGCTCAGGTCATGATCCCAGGGTCATGGGATCAAGCCCTGCATTGGGTTCTGCACTGAAGGCATGAAGCCTGCTTCAGATTCTCTCTCTCTCTCTCTCTCTCCCCCTCTCCCTCTCCCTCGCTCCCTCCCTCCCTCCCCGCTCCCCTACTCATGCTTACTCTCTTTCTCTCTCACAAATAAAAAATATTTTTTAAAAGACTACACATTGGATAATTTCTTAGAAAGTGGATCAGGGAAAGAAGATAAAATACTAACACACAAAAAACTGCACACTTGATTTGCAAAATCATTCAGATCAACAACCCTACATCCTTTAAAGAGTATTGAAATATGCTCCCTAGAATTAAGGTGGGAGATTCTCTAAGAAATGTAGCCTTATGCCCAATGTGAACTACAACTCCCTCTTTAAAATGGGTAAATATAGGGCTTAGAGATCTTTTTTTTTCCTCTCAAGAATTCCAGTTAGTGAGGCTCTCTTTTAGCACTTGGTGCATGAGAACTGTGTGGGCATCCTAAAGGCCAACACATTTTTCCTGACAGTATTCTTTGCAAGGAAGAGCTCTTGCTTGAAATTTCACACTCTGTTAGACCTTGGAACCAAAATTTATATGATCTGCATGAATAGCGTGGGTGCAAAAGATCACCAAGTCCAAAAGCAGGAAACTCAGACCTATCTATTCTGCCCACTAGATATTTTTATATGGAAATACCAATGGCAATCCAGTCGACTAATCCAAAACCAAGCTCATTATTTTCCCCCCTTTAAAAAAGATTTTTTTTAATGTTTATTTTTGAGAGAGAGAGAGAAACAGAGAGAGATAAAGCGCAAGCAGGGGACGAGCAGAGAGAGAGGGACACACAGAATCTAAAGCAGGCTCCAGGCTCTGAGCTGTCAGCACAGAGCCCGAAGCAGGGCTCGACCATGAACCTTGAGCTCATGACCAGAGCTGAAGTTAGACACTTAACTGACTAAGCCACCCAGGCACCCCTCATCATTTCCCTTTTGAAGCTACTCTTCTTGTTTTAATTCTTATTTGACACCCCAGCCAGAATCTAAAATTCATCTAATCCTCACAATTTATTTTCACATCAACCTATCAATGCAATTTCCTCAAAATTTCTGGAATCTATCCTCTTTACAACTACCATCCCTTCTCTTTTCTTCATTAATTTATTCAACAAATATGCATCAGACCCTGTACTAAGTGTTGAGGATACAGTGGGTAGCAAAGGGACATGGACAGTATTCTCATGGAAGACAGTGGAGAACAAACAACAATCTAACAATCAAATAAATAAATGCATAGTTGTTAACTGAGGCAAGGGCTGTGAAAGAAAAGAATGGGAAATTAGGAGGGCTCTAAAAAGAAGCCTAGTCTCATTTCAGGGGTCAAGGATAGCTTCCCTCTGCTCTATATCATTCCTCACCTGCACTCACACTAGCTTCTTACCCTTGCCTGAATCTTGCTTCCATGCTACTCTTTAATCCCTAATCCACTTACTCCACTGTTGAAAATGGTATTATAGACACTCCATATAGTCTATATTATTCAGATATATGCATATTATATTCTTGTTATATTTAATTAACATCTATCTCTCTAACCAGACGATAAACTAATAAGGGCAGAGGTTGTATCTATTTTGCTTCTTGCTTGTACCCCACAGTCTAGCACACTGTTTAGCTCACAATAGAGTTTCAACAAATATTTATTGAGTGAATGAATAAATGTAAGAGTTTTCTTTTTTTTTTTTTTTTTTACAAATAGTTTATTGTCAAATTAGTTTCTACATAACACTCAGTGCTCATCCCCAAAGTGCCCTCCTTCATGCCCATCCCCCCCTCCCCCCCACATCCATCAGCCCTCAGTTTTTGTCAGCATTCAAGAGTCTCTCATGGTTTGCCTCTCTCCCTTTCCCCCACCATTTCCGCCCTTCTTCTCCCCCTTGGTCCTCCGTCAAGTTCCTCCTAATCCTCCTATACGTGCAAACATATGGTATTTGTCCTTCTCTGCCTGACTTATTTCGCTCAGCATAACACCCTCAAGGTCCATCCATGTTGCTACACATGGCCAGATTTCATTGTTTCTCATTGCCATGTAGTATTCCATGGTATAGATAAACCACATCTTCTTGATCCATTCATCTGTTGATGGACACTTAGGCTCTTTCCATGTTTTAGCTATTGTGGAGAGTGCTGCTATGAACATTGGGGTACATGTGCTCCTATGCCTCAGCATTTCTGTATCCCTTGGGTAAATTCCTAGCAGTGCTATTGCTGGGTCATAAGGGAGTTCTATTGTTAGTTTCCTGAGGAACCTCCACACTGTTTTCCAGAGGGGCTGTACCAGTTTACATTCCCACCAACAGTGCAGGAGGGTGCCCGTTTCTCCACATCCTCGCCAGCATCTAGAGTTCTCTGATTTGCTCATTTTAGCCACTCTGACTGGCGTGAGGTGGTATCTCAGTGTGGTTTTGATTTGTATTAAATGTAAGAGTTTTCTAAAACAAAACTGTATGTTCAAGAACTATCAAATCATGCCCCATCCTTTTTTTTTTTTAAGTTAATTTGAGAGGGAGGGAGAGAGAGCACAAGCGGGGAAGGGACCAAGAGAAAGGGAGAGAGAGAATCCCAAGCAAGAACCATGCTGTCAGCACAGACCCTGACATGGGACTTGATCCCACAAACCATGAGATCATGACCTGAGCTGAAATCAAGAGTCAGGCACTCAACTGACTGAGGCACCCCCATGTCCCATCCTTTAAAAAAATTGTGTGTTGTTCTGCTTGAAATAAACTAATAAACCGATTTACTCTCTCAGAATATGTGCTTTCTAGGTAGTTTGACACTTCTAATGTTTCAGTAAAACTTTAGAAAAACAAGTAATTCTCACTGAGTTTGCACTACTTAGATAGCTAAGGAGATGATAAACTAAAGCAAGAGAGTCAACCCTAAAATCTCTTAATGAGAGTGCTTTTTTACCACTGGACCTTACTATGGAATTACATATACATAAATATTTTATATAGAGATAAACAGATTTATCCAATACATGCTGAATACGATTATTTTCCTTAGTTTACATACTTAAAAATATAAAATGGATATATTAATATTGACAGAACAGCTGTCTAAGTTTTGAGGTTAATGGCAAAATATTTACTCTGAATTACATTTATATACTCTACGATGTCATAGTCTACAACAGAAATCCAGAGCACCCCTATCTATTATATTTAGTCTACCCCAAAATTCTCATCATCTTACCTCAGCATCAAAAGACATCTCAACTAAAGTTGAATCAGCCACCAACTGGGTATCAAACACAGGACAAGATTTTGGAATCTGAGGTTCACTAATTAAAATTACCAAAAGGTTAAATAATGCTCCCCTGAAAAAAAAATAGAAGGCAATTAATAAATAAAGTTTGAAAAGAAAATTAATAAAACCAGTTTGTAGACACTGAATATAACTACATTTAAAAGTTTAAAGCATTAGGGCACCTGGGTGGTTTAGTCAGTTACGTGTTTGACATTAGCTGAGTTTATGATCTCATGGTTCTTGGGTTGAGCCCCACCTCAGACTCTGTGCTGGTGGTGTAGAGCCTGCTTAGGATTTTCTCTCTCTCTCTCTCTCTCTCTCTCTCCCTCCCTCCCTCCCCTTTCCCCATTTGTGTGCTCTTTCTCTCTCTCAAAATAAATAAACTTTAAAAAAACATATATATGTTATTATTATGTATCACATAATATGTGATACATGCATATTATTTTTTTTTTAAGTATAAAATATTGCAGACCATTCTTGACTGAACTTTTGGATCCTTGGACAATCAGACAATTAAGTAGTGATAAAAATTTAAATCAAAATATAATTTCTTGGTCTTTGGCTCAAAGCAAGTATAGCTCTAGAAGTTTACAAAGCTTAGTAAGCTTAGTAAGTATGGACTTAAGGGAAATTTAGGTGATTTCAGTTAAAGCAGTATTTTCCAAAGGGCTTTTCCCCCCAAAGGGTTTTTTATGGCCTATTAATTCCAGACAATATTATAGTTAAAAAAAAATAGATTATTTGGTTGAAAGAGGCTTAGTAAATACTTGGTTAAACCAAATTCATTGTAAATCTTTACTACTAGACTTCTCAGAGGCTTTAATATACTCACGTGCACTGTATATCTCTGAGACAAATAAGCCACCATATGAAACACTTCTTAAAATGCTTATCTGATCACAGATTTTTTACTGTAGAACCCTTTTTAAATTCTTTGGTTGAAATATAGTTAACATATTAGCTTCAGGTGTACAACATTAGTGATTCAGCAATTATATGCATTATCAAATGCTTACCACAATAAGTACAGTTACCATCTGTCACCATACAAAGTTATTACGATACGATTAACTATATTCCCTATGCCATTCTTTTCATCCCCATGACTTATTTATTTTATAGCCGGAAATTTGTACCTCTTAATCCTCTTCACATGTTTTACCCATCCCCCCACCCTCTTCCCATCTAGCAACCACTAGTTTCTTCTCTGTATTTATGAGTCAGTTTCTCCTTTTGTTGTTATTTGTTTGTTTGTTCATTTGTTTTGTTTTTAAGATTCCACACGTAAGTGAAATCATATGGTATTTGTCTTTGACTTACTTCACTTAGGATAATACCCTCTAAGTCCATCCATATTGTTACAAATGACAAGATTTCATTCTTTTTCTGGGTAAGCCGCATTCCATTATATACATATCACCTCTTCTTTATCCATTCATCTATGATGGATATTTAGGTTGCTTCCTTATCTTGGTATTGTAAATAATGCTGCAGTAATTATAGTGCATGTATCTTTTTGGATTATTATTTTCATTTTCTTTGGATAAATACCAAGAAATAGAATTATTGGATCATTTAGTACTTATATTTTTAGTGTTTTGAGGAACCTCCATACTGTTTTCCAGAGTAGCTGCACCAATTTATATTCCCAACACCTGTGCATGAGGATAGAATTATTTTTTTAACAATGCATTTCAGAGGCTTACTGTTCCACAGAAGACTGTTAGTTAATAAAACTAGTATTAAACTTTAAGTCTCTTGCTTTCAAAAGTGGTGTACTATCCATTAATCTACACTAATAACTCAGTTAAATTGTTACTACATGCTTGAACAATACACACTATTATTTGAAAATAAAAAGGCACAAAAAAAAAAATCACAATCCAAAGCAAGGATTCTGAGGAGATAGATAGATCTTCATATGTGTTATGCAATCCATATCTGGTTGAAAAGGAGCTGAAGGCAGACTACTAGGAAAATCAGTTGCCTAAGTGACGACTGTATCAGAGTAGCTTTGACAGACAGGAGTAGTAAAAGAATTTACAGCTAGGACTATATAAAAATCCTCTATAACCATACGCATAGAGGTGATAATGGAATAAAGGAGACTATAAACAATCCCTGTTTAGTAATATTTGAGGCTTCCTAATCTTTTTTTAATTTTAAATTAAAACTTTTTTTTAACATTTATTTATTTTTGAGAGACAAACAGAGCACGTGTGGGGAGGGGCAGAGAGAGAAAGGGAGACAATCAGAAGCAGGCTACAGGCTCTGAACTGTCAGCACAGAGCCCAACAAGGTACACAAACTCAAAACTGTTAAATCCTGACCTGCGCTTAAGTCTGAGCTTAAAGAGCTGAGCCACCCAGGCACCCTGAGGTTTCCTAACCTTTTTACAATCACTTAAATCATTACCATGATTAGAAGTTCATGATTAACCAAAATTTTAATAAAAATAGAATTCCCCTCCTTTCTCCAACTCAAAAAGCAAGTCAGTTCTCATATCTGCAAAAGAAAAGTCATGTCAGCACACTTCTCAAAAAAGCAGGATATGTCCTGCAGGATATGTCCTACAGGATATTTGCTAATGTTTTATTCAGGCTATTTTCAAGTAGCCAATCTTACTTTTAGAAGACCCTTCCAAAATCAACAAAACATTCCATTTAGAAGCTTTTCTTGATATTAAGTTTGAAATGACATTCCACTTTCTATTATATTTAATTAAAGTCCTTTAATAGCTTCTTTTAAAAGTATCATATATCCAGGGCTAAGGGAAGGAACTCTCAAAGTCTGAATCAATTGCTGAGATAATACATGAATTCAACCATGAAAGTATTAAAATATGAAAGGATTATGGCACATTTCAAGAAGAAATACAATGGACTGAGTTGAACTAATAAAGTCTCTACTTAAGAAAAAAAAATAAAGAGGAAAATACTGAAATGATTAAATGCTTTTTTATTTGCTCAAATGGAATTTAATTTGAATCTACCCCTTCTGCCAACACTATTTAAAATCCACTAGGTCAGTAGTAGATAGAAAAAAATTTAATCCGAATGGTAGTTTCATCTCGAAAATAAAGACTTATATTATGGGACTGACATCACACCCTTAAAAACTGATGCCAACAGCTGTGATACTTTCATTGGTTAGATTGTTATTCTTTCCAATGTAAGAGTTTTGAATGTATTGCAATAGATTTTTATACAGACTTTGAAAGGCAAACTCATGGTCTCATAAGGCAGTCTATGTTATTGTGGTAGGCAGAATTCTAATATGGTTCCAAGATTGCAGCCCCCTTTTTTATATACCCTAAATAATCCTTTTCCCTTAAGTATAGGCAGGACTTGTGAATATATTAAGCTATTACTCCTGTGATTATGTTATGTTAGATGAGAAAGGTGAAGGGATTTTGCATACATAATTAAGGTTCCTAATTTGTTTACTTTTGAGTTAATCAAAGAAAGATTATCCTGGGTGAGCCTGATTATCGAGTTGAGCCCTTTAAAGAGTGCTTACGCCTTCCCTGAGCTCAGAGATAGTCTCCTGCCAAGAAGCAAATCATCATAAGTTTATAGCTATAAAGAAATTAATTTGGCCAACAGAAACCCAAATGAGCTTGGGAGATGACCCCAAGCCTCCAATGAGATAGCAGCCCCAGCCAACACCTTGCCTGCTGCCTTGTGAAAAGCAGAGCCAATGATCCAACTGCCCCAACTGCCCCAATTTTCTGACCCACAGAAACTGTAAGATAAGCAATTTATAGAGTTTTAAGTCACTGAGTTTGCAGTAATTTGTTACAGGATTAATAGAAAACCAATGCAGTCATATTAGACACTTACTGTGCTAATTTATGCTATGGGTAACATGACTTGACCCTGTGCATATCAAAATTCGCTGAAAAGCTAGTATTAAAACCAGACTGTATTATAGCAATATAATATATGCACCAATTATATGAAAAGAATCAGTCGTATCAGGAAAGAGGCTTGTTGTAGTAGGGCTCATGTGTCCAAACCAAATTAAGACAGAACAATTAAAATAACACTTTGCAGCAGAAATTAATAAGAGTGGTGGTTTTTCACTTTGGATAAAGAAAGGTAGGGACCAAGAGGTGTACAAAAAGGTAACATGATTCTGCAATAATTCAGTGTGACAAAAGACAGAAATTAAGAAATAATCTTGAATCTCTATCCTGGAGATTGGGGAAATACCAGTGCTTTCAACTACATAAAAAGTATAAGGGCATCTGGGTGGCTCAGTCAGTTTAAGTGGCCAACTTCAGCTCAGGTCATGATCTCAGAGTTCATGACTTTAAGGCCCACATCAGACTTGGTGCTAACAGTGCAAAGCCTGCATCAGATTCTTTTTCTCTCCCTCTCTCTCTGGCCCTTCCCCATTTGTACTCTCTCCCTGTGTCAAAATAAATAAATAAACTTCAAAAAAAGAAAGTATACAGAGGGGGCACCTGGCTGACTCAATCAGTAGAGCATGGGACTTTTGATCTCGGGGTTGTAAGTTCGAGCCCCACATTGGATGTAGAGATTACTTTTTTAAAAAAAAAAGTATACAGAGAAAATAATAGAGTGTGTCTTACTTGTTCACTGCAAAGCAGGGGTCAAGAAACTATGGCCTGAGGCCAAATAATGCAGAGCCTATTTCTATAAATAAAGCTTCATTGGAACAGAGCTGTGCCCATTCATTTATATATTGTCTGTGACTGTTTTTCTACTACAGTGGCTAGGTTGAGTAGTTACAACAGAGACTATATGGCCTGAAAAGCCAAACATGTTGACTCTGTGGCCCTTTACAGAAATATTTGACCATCCTGATACACAGTATAGTATGCCCATAGTCCCTGGCACATACCAAGTTGCTTAAAAAATGTTAATGAATATAATCATTAAAATTAATTTATAAAGTTCTCTAATAAATAGCCAGAACAAAATTACTAACAGTTCTTATTCTTTTCCGTGGTTCAAATGTTTTAGAGCCCATGCTCTCATTTTTCTTCTACCTTCTACTAGAGAAAATATAGATAAACTGTTGATAAGGGTTAAGGTTTTAGTCAAAACATTGGCCTAGCATGTAATTCATAGTCTATAAATCATATAAAAAAGTCAAGCAGATAATATGCAAAATATGCAAATACATACTTTCTGGGGCAAAGAATGCTGTTATCCCCCTAGTTTACATTCTTTCTTTTAATAATAGGTATCCCTATCACCATCCAAAGTTTAGCTAGGTACATAGCCATGTAACTACAGATAACATCCTGTCTCTCTTGTAGCTATATATGGGCTTATGCCTAAAGTTCTTATCCGCAGAATGTGAGCAGAAAAATCTTATATGCCTCATTTAAAAAGGAAATTTGAAGGGTACCTGGGTGACTCCATCAGTTAAGCCTCCTCACTCTTGACTTCAGCTCAGGTCATGATCTCACAGTTTGTGGGATCAAGCCCTACACTGAGCTCTGCACTGACAGCATAGAGCCTCCTTGAGATTCTCTTTCCTCCTCTTTGCTCTTCACTGTGCATGCATTCTCTCTCTCTCAAAATAAATAAATAAACTTACACTATAAACACTTTTTTTAAAAAAGGAAATTTGCTTGCCTTCTACTTCTCTTCTTATATTGCACAGCATTCAGTGAAGTCTCGAAGGTCAGCCAGTTTCAATCATAAGGACAAACGTAGCATAATAAAAGATATCAGAGCAGGGCACCTGGGTGGCTCAGTTGATTTGAGCATTTGCCTTCAGCTTAGGTCATGATCTTACAGCTTGTGAGTTTAAGCCCCACATTGGCGTGTGCTGACAGCTCAAAGCCTGGAGCCTGCTTCAGATTCTGTCTCCTTTCTGTCTGTGCTCTCCTCTCTGTCTCTCTCTCTCAAAAATAATAAACATTAAAAAATATTTTAAAAAGATGCCAGAGCAACAAAAGGGAAGGAACCTAGGTCTCTCACTGATCTCCTAGAGGAAAGTGTGACTATGTACTCTGGACTACTGTGAAAAAGATGTAAATTTCTATCTTCTGTGGACCACATATTTTAGCATATCTTTATTATAGCAGCTTACCGTATATGTTAATAAACCCCCAACATCATTCACTTCAACGTCACATAGTTATATATATGAAGCTACTATAACTTCTGCATTTGTAATGTAATCTTTCTGTTCTGTGGGTATAAGGGCACTCTGTAAAATTCTAGTTGAGAACCCTGGCTTTTAATGCATGATGGGGCATATGGTCTCTTTCAAGTTCAGCAGAAAATGACAAAAGATAAAATTATGCCAGAAAAAAAATCTTTGTGCCCTTAATAATCCAGAGAGACAGAGAGCACTCACGATGTGCCAATTAATCTGTTCATCACAGAAGGAAGTGGAAAGACAAAAGAGTTTAATATACTTGCAAGGGGACTGACTAGAGAAGTGAAAGAGCTATCAGCTTTGGAAGACACTCAATAGAGTAGTTAATGGGTTGCAACTACAAGGTCCCAATGTCTTCTAAAAAACCTTACTTCTTTGCTGCCAGTGTATTCAGGCGTGATGACTCCGTTTCTGTTTCTCTGAACATCAGTCCCAGAGTCTGTATAATTTCAATGCATGCCCTAGAAAACAAAGAGAAAAAAGCATGGAAATGGCATGATTGCATTACAAGTCCTGAATTTCACAAAATCAGTAATCCTTGATAGAACTGCTCTCAGATAATCTTATAGGAAAAAGTACAGGAAGGAAATTCTGTATGTCAAATTGTCAACATTGGTTGACCACTCTGTAATTGCTATATAGTAAACACTCAGAAATATTTGTTGAATGAATCAATACCTGAATGTCAGGATTAAAAGTCATTTTCATATTGTTTTTTATCCTTAGCATTTTTTTTCCGGTAACCACACAGTGCTTTAAAGTTATTTTTAATAATTTTAACTTCTTCAGGTAGGTAATATTTGGCTCAAAATTTCAAAGGTAAAAAAGGGAATACAGACACCCTTTCCTCCAGACACCCATTTTTTCCCCCTTTGGGACAACCAATATTACTAGTTCCTTGTATAGCCTTTCTTTAAAAAGTAGAACAAAAATGGTGGCACCTGCCTGGGTGGTTGGTTAATCATCTGTCTTGATTTCGGCTCAGGTCATGATCTCACAGCTCATGGGTTCAAACCCTGTGTCAGGCTTCTCTCTGAGAGTGAGGAGCCTGCTTGGGATTCTCTCCCTCTCTCTCTGCCCCTCCCCTGCTTGTGCTCTTTCTCTCTCTTCTCTCTCTCAAAATAAATAAACTTTACTAAGTAGAACAAAATGAATGCTATTTTTACAAATTTATGTCAAGCAAAACTTGCAGCACCATTAATCATTAATATAGTAAATATTTTGTCCAGTGCCTTCCATTTATCTTTAACATGCTAGGGGGAAAATCTATGATTATCCAGTTAATACTTACACCAGCTCATCAGCCCTTTGGCTTTTATTTTGAAGTGTGCTCTTATCCCTAGACTGTGGCAAGTACTCATGAAGTTTGTTCACTAGGAAATAGAAAAGGTCACTGGTCTGTGAAAGCAAGCAGGAAAGAAGACGGTAATTAAGATATCAGTTGGTAAAACCCTACCTTTACATAATAAAAATATGAAGAAATTCTCTGGGGATAAAGTGAATTATAATATTGCTCATTAATATTAGCATAATCCACACTGAAAACACTTTTACTTACCACCAGCAGACCACTGTCTTGGTGAACAGAGCCAGAGCTAAAGCCTAGGTGTGAAGCTAAGAGATGCTTACTAGGCTTGGCTCTCCAGTTAATATTAAAGGCCCTCCAGAAGTGGGTGTATAATCTCAGGCAAGTCATTCAGTTACCTGGGGATACTATATTAGATGGAGGCTCCTGTAATTCCTGTCTTCCCAAAAATAATTTGGCCTTTGTGAGGATACAATGAAATAAGAGCTAGAAAAACACTTAAAAATGTTTGCTAACCGAAAAGCAAACTCACAGCATTGGTATAGCCTAATGAAGATGGTGAAGAATGATACTAATAATTCTGTTATAATACAGAAGATTACCATCTCTGTCAAAATAAACACAGACCTAAGAGTGCAGGAACCAATTGTTTTGTGCTTCTATGCAGTCTCTTGAGATAAATCGAGCATGAAGTAAGCACTGGCCCGTGAAATCAGGCAAGTTGGTACTAATAAGAAATATAATGTAATTGCTTCTCTTTTCTGTTCCTCTCTTGTTCATTTTTTCCCCAGGACATTTGTTTACTAGTGACAAATTAGACTCTTTGTTTAGACAGACATTATGGGTGCCTTTATACAGGTGACTTGGCATGAGAAGAGGCTGAGGATGGCAGGTGGAGGAAGGGACAGGAGGAGAAAGAGCGGGATGTATAGCAGACCCTCTCAGAAGTGCTGCTGTTTACTTGCTGCCCTGGTAAATTAGCACAGGGTGGTGGTTCTGTACACTAGCTGTGGTGCCTGGTTCTTTCAGTTCACATCCCAGTTCTGCTATGGGTTAGCTTCGTCATATCTGGCAAATTACATACTCTGTGACTTAGTTTATGTCTAAAATGGAATTAATGTCACCTGAAGGGGTTGAAATAAGATACTATTTGTAGGGGCGCCTGGGTGGCTCAGTCGCTTGAGTGGCCGACTTAGGTTCAGGTCATGATCTCACGGTTCATGAGTTCAAGCCCTGCGTCAGGCTCTGTGTGACATCTCAGAGCCTGGATCCTGCTTCACATTCTGTGTCTCCCTCTCTCTGCCCCTCTCCTGCTCATGCTCTGTTTCTCTCTCTCTCTCAAAAATAAGTAAACATTGAAAGAAAAAAAAAAGATAGTATTTGTAAATGCTTAATAGTGCTCAGCACATCATAAGTGTTTAATAAATATCAGCTATTATTGTGATCTCCCACCTGCTCACTAGTTCAGGAATTTTTCCTCTTAAAATACCTTCTACTAACCTGTAACAACATGAAGGAGTCTTGAAACTATTATGTCAGAAGAAGCCAACACAAAAGAGTACATAGTGTACAATTCCATGTAAGTGGAATCCTAGGACAGGTAAAACTAATCTATAGTGACAGAGAGCAAGCAGTTGCCTGAGGCCAGGGCTGGGAGGAAAGTGGCTGCCAAGGAATGTGAGGTAGCCTTTTGGGGTGATAGAAATGTTATGAACCTTGATTGGGGTGGTGGTTAAGTAGGTGTACACATTTGTCAAAACTTTTTAACTGAACCCTTAAAATGAGTGCATTTTTTGTATGTAAATTATATCCCAATAATTTCTCCAGAGAAGATACATATGTCCACTAAGTACATGAAAATACTCAACATCACTAATCATTAGGGAAATGCAAATCAAATTACAAGATATCACCTCACACCCATTAGGATGGTTACAGTCAAAAAATCAGAAAATAACACGTGCTGACAAGGATGTGAGAAAACAGGAACCCTTGTGCGCTGCTGGTGGGAATGTACAATGGCACAGCTGCTGTAAAAAACAGTATGGTGGTCCTCAAAATATAAGACGTGGAATTACCAGGGGCGCCTGAGTGGCTCAGTCAGTTGAGGGTCCGACTTCGGCTCAGGTCATGATCTCACAGTTCGTGGGTTTGAGCCCTGAGTCGGGCTCTGTGCTGACAGCTCAGTCTGGAGCCTGCTTCAGATTCTGTGTCTCCCTCTCCCTCTGTCCCTCCCCCCCTCACGCTCTGTCTCTCTTTCTCAAAAATAAATAAACATTTTTTAAAAATAGAATTACCATATAATTCAGCAATCCTACTAATGGGTACACTCCCAAAAAAACTGAAAGGGTCTCAAAGAGATATTTACACATCCAATGCACAATAGTAATACTCACAATAGCTTAAACATGGAAGCAACCCAAGTATCCATCAATGGGAGAATGGATAAGCAAACTGTGGCTTATACTATTATGCCCGAATCGCGAGTCCCCGGAGACCTCCAAGGAGCCGGCATCGATGCAACAACAAAAGGGTCTTTATTACAAGCTCGAGCAGGGGCTCACCTGTCTACTGGCACAGCAGCAGCAAAGTGAAGCCCCGAAGAGCGGCAAGCAGGGTTTTTATGGGGGAAGGGTGGGGGTGTTACCGTGCACACGTTGTGTGTTTTGCGTGTTTTGCATCATTACATAAGCACCAATCATAATTGTACAGCACCCATAGTAACAGCATAGTAACCGTTTTGACCATTCAGTATCTGCGAGGCATCCGTTACATTTGGCGGGACCCAATCATGACCTTTGAGAGTCTTTTAAAATGACCAATTATGAGGTGGGCTCAGAGAATCTACGTGGGGCTTCTGCAAGCGGTGATTGATTGGCAAGTTTGTACAAAGTGACTACCTGCAGCTCCCCACCCTGACTCGTCTCCAAGACTACAGGAATGTTACACATTTCTTTTGATTGGCAGATCCAAGGGCAGTCCAAGGGTGGCTTCAGCTGAGGCTTTTCCTGGAACTGGGACTACGCACAGCCTCAGGTTGTTTCTAATGGAGGACTTAATTTCAGGCTCCTCAATACATACAATGGAGTATTACTCAGCCTTAAAAAGGAAGCAAATTCTGACATACGCCACAACATCAATGAACCTGGAAGACATACTGAGTGAAATAAGCCAGTCACAAAAAGACAAATACTGGATAGTTCCACTTACATGAGATGTTTAGAGAAGTTAAATTCATAGAAGCAGAAAGAATAATGGTGTTGCCAGGGGCTGGGGGAAGCTTAAAAGCACACAATGGTAAATAAGAAAAATCTGCCAATAACAGTAGTAAAAAGGAGACTTTCTGTGCTAATTCTTGAGGGTAGGAACTGTATCTTACTCATGCTCACATTTCTAATGCCTGTTCCCATTCCTGGCCCAGAACAGGCATGTAATAAATATTTGCTGAATTGTTAGAAGGTGCTGAGAGATGCCATAGAACTGCATTGTCCAACACAGTAGCCACGGTCACATGGCGCTACTTATATTTAAATTGATTAAAATGGCAGGGTGCCTGGGTGGCTAAGTCTATTAAGTGTCCAACTCTTGATTTTGGCTCAGGTCATGATCTCACAGTTCTTGAGTTCAAGACCCACGTCAGGCTCTGCACTGACAATACAGACCCTGCTTGGGATTCTTTCTCTCTCCCTCCCTCTCTCTTTGCCCTTCTCCCACTCACAATCCCTCTCTCTCTCCCTCAAAAATAAACATTAGAATTTTTTTTTAATTTCACATTCCTAGTCACTGGCCACATTCAGTGAGGCTATTGGTTACTTCATTGAACAGCACAGATTAAGGAACATCAAAGAAAGTTCTGTGATACGGAACTGCCAAAACAGATCAGAAAGAGGAAAGTTCTAAAGTTCCCAATGGAGGATGACAGGAAAGGCGAAGAATTGCATTTGAGCTGAGCCTTGAATAAATGGGTAGGATTTTAACAGGAGAAAATGGAAGAAAAAGCCTAGAAACAGCAGCAGGGGAAAACAAGGAGGGGTTGGAAAGGACAAGGTGTTCAAGTCATCCTATGGGGCTGGAGCTTTTAGAGGAAAGAGATGAAGTGTGGGGTTGAGTGAGTTAGGCCCAGCCTTATTCTCTTTCTCTGTATCTTTCTTCGACTCCACAGCCAAGGCCACCTGCATGAGGCTCACTGTAAGACTGGACATGCTTAAACGACCTCCAGGCCAACACTCTGATACTCAACGTCAACACCCTTCTTCCTAGTCTAACCTGTAGGTGGTACCTCGGTTCTCCTACCTAGACATCTGCTTTAAAGCCAGTCCTCTGATTGTGTCTAGTTTATCTAAGTGAAAATCTCTGGTTTATCTAAGTGAAAATCTCTGGGCCCAGTGCTAAGTCCTTTGCCAGTTGCTAGGTTTACTCTGGACAACCTTTATATCCTTGCCACCTCCCCTACCTCATTCCATGATTGCCAGACTATAACTGAGCATATCTTCCTGGTGCCAGATGTTTTTGCAGACATTTGGATATAACCCACACACGTGCTGAAAATGCCCGGAGCTTTCATTTTGCACGCTCTCTGTGCAGAGGTCACTCTCCCCCTTGCACACTGTGGGAGCATCTACAGCAGGGCTGGTTTGCCCAATGCCTGGACTATGTAGATGTTGGCCCCTTCCTGAAAACCCACCTTGCTAAAATAAAAGTCATGCCTGTCCAAATTTGAAATCTGTGACAGAAGTCATTAGTGGAGAACCTTGAAAGCTAAAGCTGAAGTGTTTGTACTTCACAGGGAGAGCCACAAGAGGTTTTTGAGCAAGCAAGGAAATAAAATCAGAGTTACAGATTAAACTGATGACCACGTGTGGCATGGACTGGAGAGATATATTTAGGAGTGGTATAATACCAGTTTCCTTAGCCTTTCCCCATAAACTCCATTCCCTTGTTCATAATCACCTTGAGTGGTCATTTCGATGCCTGTCCCTATATTCTCCACAATCCCCTGAAGTTTTGGAGTCAAGACCTGGATGTTATATTCCTAACAGGGTGCATCCAGGTCAAGCATTTAGGTAGCACAGCATCATTGTTACCTGTCTCAGAGTTGTGGGACATTTGACATAGTACTCTATGTAGCCTAATAAGCCCTCCAGTTAGGGTAATCAACCATCCCAGTTTGCTTGGGACTGTCCTCGCTTTTGCCCTCAAAGTCCCATATCCTGAGAACTTCTTCAGTCCTAGAAAAGCTGTGACAGTTGGTCACCCAAGTGTGGGCAAACCTGGATGTTTGGTCATCCTACATGCAAAGCACTTTGAATCTAAGACCAGGACTGTCTTGTATGGTTGGGGAACTGTGCACTCTACAGCCACTCACTAAAATGTTGGCAACTCTGAGACCACTGGCCAGAATTAGGATACAATGTATAGCCATCAACAGGAGCTCAACCTGAGGCGGGGCCTCATTAGCACCACACCAGTACTCAGCAGAGCTTCTGAATACCTTCCCCTGAAATTGAAATGAAACTAAGTCTTAACAGAGTAAATCTGTAACTTGCTGAGTGACAGCTAGGTTGATTTGACTCCCTAAGAGTCACCTTTTTCAAAATAACAGTCCTGGGGTGCCTGGGTGGCTTAGTTGGTTAAGCGTCCGACTTTCGCTTAGGTCATGATCTCACGGTTTGTGGGTTTGAGCCCCGCGTCGGGCTCTGTGCTGACTGCCAGCTCAGAGCCTGGAGCCTGTTTCAGTCTGTGACTCCCTCTCTCTCTGACCCTCCCCTGCTCACGCTGTCTCTCTCTCTGTCTCCTAGAAATAAATAAACATTAAAAAAAAAAAAAAAGTCCTACGCTCACAAGTAACTTGTTTTAACTGTATTTTTTATTGTATTTATTTGTATTGTATTTTTATTGTATTGTACAATTATTTTATTGTAGGGTTAGGTAGATTTTAAGAGAGTTAAATTTCTTTTTTTCAAAACAAAACAAAACTACTTTATTGAGGTATAGTTTATATACCATAAAGTTTGCTTAGGTATTCATTTTGAGTTTTAATAAATTTATACAGTGTGCAGCCATTACCACAACCCAGAATTTCCTTGTGCACATTTGCAGTCAATCCCCACTCCCATTCCAGGCCCCAGGCAACCACTGATCTGCTTTCTGTCTCTTTAAGAGAGTTAAACTTCTTATAGAAGTTTTCGTTAAGTTCTTTAAGTTCTTCTTAAAGACAGTTTACCTTCTTAAAATCTACCTTCTCCTTTCACTCTCTGTACCCATACAGCTTGTATGCCAGAAGCTTCCCTCTAAATACCTCAATTGGACACTGCCAAACCAACCCACCGTACAGTACTTTTTGCTACCATTGTCTTTCCCCATCTCTCCTCCAACACACACATAAACATTATTGATCATCTTGCAAGATTTCAAATACTAAGTCATGATTACATTAAATTTCCATCAACATTTTAAAATACAGCTTCCAAATACAAGACATTTATTTGTATTTTACTACATGCTTGAATATGCTGCATTTGATAAATAGACGGAACACGTTCCAAAGATAAAAGTAAAAGAAACACCTACTTTCCAGAAAAGCCTTTTCAGAATGAAGTTTTTCTGGGCTGCTACTTTAAGTTCCATAATTAAACAAAGTATCTTCCTCAAAGTATTGTCTTTAAGGAAAAGTTCAGATTTAAGTTGACTGAAGTGTTTAATTTTCTCCTCAGATCTACAGAAACACAAGAAAAAAAATCTATGTAAAAAATGGTAAGAAACAACAGTTGAAGAATATCAACAATTATTGACAGGTTTGTAAAACTTTGTTTCTAATGGAATTTTAATATAGTTTTATGCTTCTAGTTTTATTACTCATTAGTAATGAACCTTGAGCTATTTATAATTCTCCAGACATACTTTTACCTATGTCCCTTTACTCAAGCTGTATCCATGTCAGGAATACTCTCAGTGACCCTAGGAAACTTCTGTCCCTCTTTCATAGTCTTGCTCAGAGTTTGCTACATACCATCCACCATACTGCCTGACCCAAATGTAATATTATTTGCTTAATATATTTTCTTTAAATCAACTTACTTTGTGTGTGTGTGTGTGTGTGCGTGTGCGTGTGCGTGTGTGTGTATGTGAGAGAGAGAGAGAAGTTTACTCATAAAGAAAACTTTGTATCACTACTTTACAAGGAGAACCAGTCTCTTGTGCCATTAATAGCAGGTAACTGTAAAATCAGCCTGGAAGCAACACAGATTCAAAGTTGATGTACCACATTCCCAGCCTGAGGCTGGCTCTCTTGTTGAGAAAAAGGCAGATGAGCATGTCTCAGAGAGCTGATGCTTTGGGCACCAAGCCCCAAGGTTCTCCCTAGTGAGAATGGACTAGTTGGAAAAGCAATCACTGTTCCACTGTGGAATTCAGAGTTATTTCCTGCCGTGTCAGAGTACCATGTGCATTCATCTCTTGTCACTGACCCGTGTGCGTTCGACACATCAGGAAAAGCTGCCTTTGCTGAAGAGAGTAACGCCTCCCCACTTTAAGCTTTGTCTAATTCCAGCCTGAATGGGGACCCTCTCCTGTAGCACTTTTCCCACATATCATATATATCACACTAATCCTATTTTGCCCCATTGTTGGGTTTGTGTACTTGTCCTGGGTACTTTTCACGTACTAGCTCATGCAGTCCCAGGAAGGGGGTACAGCTGGGAATTACCGTAACATTTATGGAATGTTAGAGGTTAAGTAGTCTGTCCAAGTTCATACAACTAATGATTCAGAAAAGCAGGGTGCAAAGTAATAGGAGGAGAGATGTTTCATAGTCTGTGTGGGTTGATGGAAACTTCCTAAAATTTCTGACTTGAAGTCAAAATATTATTTTTTTAACTTTTTTAACATTTTTATTCATTTTTTGAGTCAGAGACAGAGTACAAGCAGGTAAGGGGCAGAGAGCAAGGGAGACACAGAAGTTGAAGCAGGCTCCAGGATCTGAGTTATAAACACACAGCCCGATGTGGGGCTCGAACCCACAGTGAGGTCATGACCTGAGCCGAAGTTGGCCATTTAACCAACCAAGCCACCCGAAGTTGCCCTGAAGTAAAAATATTTTTACCACCTACTCCAACCTTAATACCAGCCATTTATCCCAATATGACTGCACGGAATCTTAGCCCTTGCCTACTGTCTCCTCCTTTATTTAAAAAAAAAAAAAAAAAAAAAAAAAAAAACTAAGAATTTTCTCTTCTATCCAATCACTGAGCCTCTTATTAACAAAAATAGGAAGGCTTCCTGAAAAACAGTCTCTTTTCTAGTGGACTCTGGAAGAGAAATGGTCATCGAGAATTCAGGGATAGAAGTCAGAGGCAGAAGAACATGATTATAAATATGGGAATCAGACACGCTGATCAGATTCTAGATCTGCCTCTATTCAGCTGAGTAATTATCATGGACAAGTTACCTACTCTCTGTGTGCCTCAGTGTCCTCATCTGTAAAGTAAGGATGATGGTAATGTTGCAGGATTCTCGCTCAGAGAGTCGTGACACCGAGACTTTTCTTTCCAGGAAGCAATTTTATTATGCCGGCACCGCTCAGTTGGGTTCGTACCCAAAGGAACTGAGCGGCCCACCTCATATGGCATAGGTTTTTTTATACATTTTCTATTTCTTTGTCTCCCATATATGGTAACACACATAAACATGCAGTCTAACTAAGTTGTTTCAGTTTACAAGAACATGGTGGATGTAGGCAGCTGGACTCATATCTAGGTGACCTTGAAGTCTTCTCTCCTCTCTTCTTTATTTTTTTTCTCCTTAGGGAGGGGTTCCTACCACAATAGGACCTACCTCATCATTTTGATACTTTAGTTACTACATGTGCTTAGCCCAAACTAAATGTTTAATAAATGGTTTCTAAATAAATACGAATGAGCTTTGAGATCCCACTTCCCTATACATCCACTTTTAATTATTATCACATTTCATTTAAATAGTTTTCACAAACAAATGAGCTTAGAAAAGCACAAGCTCAGAAAGAATACCAGCAGAAATACTTTCCAATTGACTTTCCTATTTTTCCCATTAGTCAGCAATTTGCTGAGATTCACATAGGGACAGTTTTTATCCTTCGGCACCTATGGTACTAGACTGAAATGCCAAACTTAAAAAATTTTCCATAAGAAAAAGCTAATCTCTTCATACTAAAAATCTAATCTCTTCTACTAAATATCTTCATACTAAAACTCAACTCATATATAAATTGAGGTTTCATGTACATCATAAACACAAGTTAAATTCAGGAGTCTATATTTCTATAGAGGCATCAATATAATCACAGTTCATTTGACCATTCAGAATATGTGTTTTTACATAGATGATAAACTTTATTTGACTAATTTAAATAATAAAAAGTCTAGTGCCAGAAGACTCCATTATTCAGTTTAGGAATAAGGGCAGATTGTACATTAATTTTAACAGATATTCTGTTTTTTCATCAGCTAGAAAACATAGATTCACTCAAATAACATAGCAAGAAGGATTCTTGGTCTAATGATAAGCACTATTTTTCCCACATGTTTTCATTTTTTTGGATATTTTATATAAATAATGTATTTGTATAATGGTTTACAGCTGGAAAAGGCTTTTCATACATTATCTCAGAAGCACTGTGTATATGTTCACAGTGATCCCTATACATCCATATGATGTTACAGAACTCACATTTGTGACAGAGTTCTAATTTGAAACCCAATGAACGTTTATTCCTTTTAAACTGAAGGTGCCTTGCAGGCAGAGACTTGTCTTATATACCTTGTACATATACCATATTCCTCAGAGTGCATTTTAAATCACTGCATTTTAAATGTGTTGCCTTTTGGAATTAATTTTGTAAGAAATACGCTTTTCCTGAGTCAGGATAGTGGTAGAACTCAACTCTCTTTGTGACCTTCAAGGATAAATTTCAGGTCACACATATACAAAGTTAAAGCCTATTTTATATCCAGTTAGTTTTAAAATCACTTTTTTTTTTAATTTCTGAGAGAGAGAGAGTAAGGGAGAGGCAGTGTGAGCAGGAGAGGGTCAGAGAGAGAGGGAGATACAGAATCCAAAGCAGGCTGCAGGCTCTGAGCTATCTGTTAGCACAGAGCCTGCCTGATGCAGTGCTCAAACCCATGAACCACGAGATCATGACCTGAGCCGAAGTCGGATGCTTAACCGACTGAGCCATCCAGGCGCCCCTAAAATCACTTGAAATAAAGCACTAAAACTAAAACTGATGTTTTTTTACAAAAACATATGAAGACATGTAGAAATTCTAAGCTATCTGTATTACCATCTTTTAAAAAAGAAATCATGTTGTTACTTTACCCCTACATACATCAGAATATATCTCAAGATAAAACGAACATTTTCTTGGGGCACCTGGGTGGCTCAGTCGGTTGAGCATCCGACTTTGGCTCAGGTCATGATCTCATGGTTCGTGGAGCCCCGCGTCAGACTCTGTGCTGACAGCTCGGAGTCTGGAGCCTGTTTCAGATTCTGTGTCTCCCTCTCTCTCTGACCCTCTGTTGTTCACGCTGTCTCGCTCTCAGAAATGAATAAAAACATTTAAAAAAACAAACAAAAAAAAACAAACATTTTCTTACTAAATCATCATCACATCCAACAAAATTATCAATAATTCTTTGATATGGGCCAATACCCAGTCCATATTCAGATGTCCTCCATTGTCTTAAAAATGTCTTTTTAGGGGCACTTGGGTGGCTCAGTCAGTTAAATGTCAGACTCTTTGATTTTGGCTCAGGTCATGATCTCATGGTTCGTGGGTTCAGGCCCTACATTGGGCTCTGTACTGGCAGTGAAGAGCCTGCTTGGGATTCTGTCTCTCTGTGTCCCTCCCTTGTTCTCTCTCTCTCAAAATAAATAAATAAATTGTTTTAAAAAATGTCTTCTTTATTTTTGGTTTTTTAAAATCAAGATATAAATGAAATACTTGTTATATTTGCTTATTATGTTTCTTTAGCCTTTTTAAAACCTTTATTATGGAAATTTTTAAACATACACAAAAATGAAGAAAATTTTGTAAGAAATCCCATGTATCTATCATGTAGATTCAATAATTTTTAACATTTTGCCAGTCTTGTTTTATCTGTTCCCTTACACACACACATACACACACACCCTTACCTGTTTTAAAAGTGAAATAAAATATACATAACATAAAAGTTACCACTGCAACCATTTTTAGGTATACAAATCAGTGTTATAAAGTGCATTCACAGTATTGTGCAGCCGTCACTACTATCCATTTCCAGAACTTTTCATTTTCCCAAACAGAAACTCTGTGCTGATTAACAGTAGGTCCCCATTCCCCTCTCCCCTCAGCTCCTAGTAACCTCTATTTTATTTTCTGTTTCTAGGAATCTGCCTATTCTCAGTGCCTCTTATAAGTAAGTGGAATCACACAATATTTGTCCTTTTTATGTCTGGCTTCTTTCACTTAGCATAATTTCTTCAAGGTTCATCCATGTTGTCCCATGTGTCAGGACCGCATTCTTTTTGAAGGCTAATATACCCACACTTTAATTTAAGTTAGATTCAGGTTTAATTGTTTTGACAATTTATTCATTCATTCAATAAAGGCAGCCTACTATGTGCCAATGACCAAGGTATAGTCCTGGCCCTTAAGGAGCATCATACATAACAGGACAGCACATAATCAAACAAGCAATCATAAGATAGACTGTTAAGTCCTACAAGATGGTAAGCACAGAATGTTCTAGAGGGCCCCTCCTAATGGAGTTTTGAGAAATGATTTTTAGAGAAAGGAATAGTAAGCTAAGACTTGATGAGTTGAAGTTATTCACGAAGGAGAGGAAGAGTAGAGAGCAGGGTTCCAGAATAGAGGAAACAACAAAAACAACCAAACAAAAAAAGGTGGGGGAGCTTTCTGAGAACTGTGAGATCATTTAGATCAGGAGGTTAGGGCAGGAGTTGAGGGGACACAACAGCTGAAGATGGAAAGATGAAAAGAGACATCAGAAAGATCTTTATAAGCTGCTGTAAAGTTTAGACTGTCTCCTAAAAGCAGTGGGGAGCCATTCAAAGAATTTAAGGGAAGGAATTTTATGATCAGATTTGTGCTTCCAAAAGATTTCTTTGTTGTTATGGAGAATGGTTTAGAGAGGGTCAAGAGTGAAGGCAGAGGCCAGCTAGGAAAATACTGTAGGAGCTTAGAACAAAGGTAATTGGGCTGAGCATGTGACAGTGAAAGAAGTCGATGTTATCCAGATATATTAGAGATAAGCAATTAAATCATGTGGTGAATGGCTGGATGGGGGGGGGGGGGGACATTCAGAAATCTCGTATGCGAAAGAGAAGGTAAAGATGACTTTCAGGACTCTGGCTTTGGTGATCTGGGGATAACGACATCAGGCCCCATGTTAGGAAACACAAGAGGAAGGTTGGGTCCCAGAAGGAAAACACTGAGTTTTAAAGTTCTTGTAAGACCTACAAGAGGTGATGGTCAATGGGTAACTGTTTACAGACCTAAAATTCAGGGCAGAGAGTTGAAGTAGAGGTGTAAATGTGATGGTCATCAACACATAGAGTTATGAGAGGCGAAGAGGAGAGAACAGTCCCCCATGCAACTCTAGCATGTCATCACTCCTTACCTGTATGGCTTCTGACTTCCGGTAGGACTGGGCTCACTAACATATAAGGGATCTTGTAAAAGAGTAGCTTTCTAAAAGAAGGAAAAAGTGGGAATAGTTAGAAATTTTGTTTACTGAAAATCAGTTTCTCCTACTTTTAGTCAATACCACATATCTATTCCTCAATCCATGCCATAGTACATGATTTGTTGTAAATAATACCACAGGATACTTGGTTCCTTATATAGTCTTAAAAGTTTTTAAACATGATACTTGCTCATTATAAAATGAAATTATCTATCAAAATCAAACAGTACAAAAATGCATAAGCAAAAGACAAAAAGTTCCATGTCTCTCTCTCCCCCTCCCATACCACTAGCTAAAAGTACCTTACTGTATACCTGATACTAATATAACACTGTATGTTAATTATACTGAAATTAAAAACAACAAAGTAACAACAATAACTATATTATCATCAGTTTGGCTTATATCCTTTCAGTTATATAAAAACATTTTAATTTTAACGTACATCTGTAGGGGTGCCTGGGTGTCTCGGTGAAGTATCTGACTCTTGATCTCAGCTCAAGAGAGAGGTCTGTGAGATCGAGCCCAGAGGCAGGCTCTAAGGTAGACAGTGCAGAGCCTGCTTGGAATTCTCTCTCCTTCCCTCTCTCTCTGCCCCTCCTGCACTACCATGCATGCATACACATGTGCATGCTCTCCCTCAAAGTTAAAAAAATACATCTATAGTATATACATATTAGATGATATCTTTTTATAATATATATTTAGTACTAGCTAAATTACATCACATATATTAATCTGGAACTTTTTTTTCACTTAATATATGGTAGATAATTTTCCATGTCTATGTATGTAGGTTTACTTCAATCTTTTTAATAATTACCTAGTATTTCTTAGCATAGATTATATAATAGTTTTCTTAACTATTCCCATATTAATAGTTATTTTTTCCTCAAATCTTTAGTGTTGCCATTTTCCATTCATTCTGGGTCTTGAAAATAAGTTAGTATGTAGTGTTCAGCAAGTCCTCTAAATAATCTTTTATATTAAGGCTTAACAGACAGGTCTGAAAATTTCTGAAATGTTGCTGATTTACAACTCCAAACAAACTTACCCCTTTATCATTCCTTTTTTTTTTTTATAAATAGTTTATTGTCAAATTAGTTTCCATATAACACCCAGTGCCCATCCCCCCCCCTTCTCATTCCTTAATATCAGAGCAGGATGGTGAATGGTTTGGGGAAGGGGGAGGATGTGCTTTTTCTCACTACTTTTGTTTTTTATTTATTTTCTAAAAATGTGTATTTATTTTTATTTTTGAGAGAAAAAGCATGAGCAGAGGTGGGCCAGAGGGCAGGGCAGGGGTGGGGGTAGATAAAACCAGGCAGGCTCTGTGCTGTCATCACAGAGCCTGATGCAGGGCTCAAACTCATGAACCATGAGATTATGAACTGAACTGAAATCCAGAATCAGACGCTTAACCAACTGAGCCACCCAGGCGCCCCACTACTTTTGTATTTTGAAGTAATCTCTACAACCAGTGTGAGGCTCAAACTCAGGCCCCTTAGATCAAGAGTCAAATGTTCTAACTGAGCCAGCCTGGTGACTCTGTTCTTAACTACTTTTGTCATTGTTTTAAGGCAAGGGGGAAAAAAAGCTGTCTTTTTTTTCTCTCTAGATGTTGATAGTTATCTTAAATTTAGAATTTTAATTTGGGGATATTCCTTAGTTATTTAGCTTTCTAGCACCTATCTTCACAACATATAAATGGCAGAGAATTGCCATATATTGTTTTTGTAGAATTTGAGATGCTAATCAACTCAGATATAATTATTTTTGGTGAAAGCTGGAGATAAAATGGGTCACTGAAGGAGACTTGGCTCTTTGAAAACCTGTAAAATCAGAATGAGTGCTAATTTCTCACTGGATGGTTTAGGTTTACTTTCCCCAAAAATATAGAGAGAGTTAACACATCCATTCCTTTTTCCCAGTAGCATTTTCCTAACTCAATGTGCATAGTCATTCTAGATCTCAAAGCACAAGAGATCAGTTAGCCAAGATATATCTGACTGATTTAGGAGATTTTTTTTTTAATTTCCTAAAACTTATGAAAGAATTACCAAGAATAACCAAAGTGATCAACATGATGAAATAACAGTGTCACAAAAGTCAGAACATTTTAAGTGTTTATATTGAATTAACGTCTTATTTTTTCCTAGAATGAATGCTAACCTGATTTATCATTTATGTATGAAATACTTGCCCATTTCCATCTTTCAAGAGATAGAACAAGTTTTTTTTTAAAATTTTTAAGTTTATGTATGTCAGAGAGAGAAAGCACAAGCAGGGAAGGGGCAGAGAGAGAGAAAAAGAAAGAATCCCAAGCAGGCTCCACACTCTCAATGCAGAGCCCTACACGGGGCTCAAACCCACAAACTGCAAGATCATAACCTGAGCCAAAGTCAAAAGTCAAACGCCCAACCAACTGAGCCACCCAGGTGTCCCAAGGGATGGGACATTTTTAATGATAGCATCTATTAGGGGCACCTGGATGGCTCCATCGGTTAAGTGTTTGACTTTGGCTCAGGTCATGATCTCACCATTTGTGAGTTTGAGCCCTGCATAGGACTTTGTGCTGACAGCTCGGAGCCTGCTTCCGATTCTGTGTCTTCATCTCTCTTTGCCCCTTCCCTGCTTGTGCTCTGTCTCTGTCTCAAAAATAAATAAACACTAAAAAAATTTTTTTTATTGATAGCATCTACCAACTCAAAGATAACCCCCCTGTACCCACATTTATTTCAATGGTCATAGAAAAAAATCAAATCTTGGCTCCATGCTAGTTGTGCAAACTTGCATAAATCATTTAATTTCTCAGTGCCTCAATTTCCTCATCTATGAAATGAGAAAAACAGTCCTACCTCCTAGGGTCATTGTGCAGATTAATTAAGTTAATATACAGAAAGCATCAAAGCAGATCCTACCTGTTAATAACAATACATGTCAGTTATTGTGATTGCTTTTATTATCAGAAGAGCTATGAGTTTGCCTGTCTGACTTGCCCCAATCATGCCTCTGCTGCAGAATTAAAAAGTAGTACTAAAACCAGGAGTTTGTCAATTCAGGGAAACATAAACGGTCATTTTGAAATATTTAGATGGATTAAATTTTGGTATTTCTGTTACAACATATGTGGCCTCCTTTTAATAGACCAGAGTTTCCTCTATATTTATAATTTGTTTAAATTCTTAATCTGGAGAAAGCTTTTTAAAAATTTAGGAGCACCTGGCTCAGTCACTAGAGCATGTGACTCTTGATCTTGGGGTTTTAAGTTGAAGCCCCACGTTGAATGCAGAGGTTATTTAAAAATAAAATGTTTTGGGGGCGCCTGGGTGGCTTAGTCGGTTAAGCGTCCGACTTTCACTTAGGTCATGATCCCGCGGTCCGTGGGATCGGGCCCCGCATCGGGCTCTGTGCTGACTGCCAGCTCAGAGCCTGGAGCCAATTTCGGAGTCTGTGTCTCCCTCTCTCTCTGACCCTCCCCTGCTCACACTGTCTCTCTCTCTCCTAGAAATAAAATAAAATAAAATAAAATAAAATAAAATAAAATAAAATAAAATAAAATAAAATAATAAAATGTTTTTTGGGGCACCTGGGTGGCTTAATCGGTTAAGTGCCCCACTATTTTCCCACATCGCAGGGATAATGTACAGTTTTGTCTGTTTTTCCCCCTAGTATTTTTTTTTCCTGATCACATATATGTAGTCAAGCCAACACTGTATGAATGAATGATTTTATAAGATTTTGTGAATGACATCTGCCCTAAGGAACTGAGTTCCCATCCAGCTGAAGCCTGAACTCTTGCCTTCATATACATTTTAAAAAATACTTATGGGGGCACCTGGGTGGCTCAGTTGGTTAAGTGTCCGACTTTGGCTCAGGTCATGATTACACAGTTTGTGGGTTTGAGCCCCGCGTCGGGCTCTGTGCTGACAGCTAGCTCAGAGCCTGGAGCCTTCTTCAGATTCTGTGTCTCCCTCTCTCTGACCCTCCCCTGCTCACGTTCTGTCTTTCTCAGAAATAAATTTTAAAAATAAATAAAAAATAAAACGTTTTTACAAATAAAAATTTAGGGAGGAATTTTGAGCATGTAATTTACATATAATTTAAAAATCAACCATAGTCGGGGCACCTGGGTGGCTCAGTCAGGTTGAGAGTCTGACTTCAGCTCAGGCCATGATCTCATGATTTATGAGTTCGAGCCCCACATCGGGCTCTGTGCTGACAGCTCAGAGCCTGGAGCCTGCTTCAGATTCTGTGTCTCCCTTTCTTTACCCCTTGTCTGCTCTCATTCTGTCTCTCTTTCTCTCAAAAATAAATAAACACTAAAAAAAAAATTTTTTTAAATCGACCATTCTGAACTAGACTATGAGAAAAAAGACTTGTCATGCAGTCTTTCAGTTTTTAGCCATTTTAAAAACCTGTTGCTTCCTTAGCTTCTTCTGAATGAAAGAGCCTATCATATTTCTTAATATTGTTGTGTTATAAGGTCAATAATAAAAATTATGTATCATTGAAGATTATTGAAAAGAATCATGTTATTTCTGTAATAAATTACTTATTTTTAAACTGATCCTCGTGTAATAAAAAGATTACTAATGAGAATTCTCACTCTGTCCCTAAACCTACTATATAATCTTGAGTAAGCACCTAAAATATTCACTTTCCTCATTTATAAAATAAGGTACTTAGCCTAGGTAATCTCTCCAAAATTATCTGCTCCTATGACAATGACCCCCATTAACCTACTTTCAATGGCTCAGCTAAGAAATACAAAGGCATATTGACAATGTTGAACTTTATCTGAGCTCTGTGCTCTCTGAAAGCAGAAGTGGTTGAGAAATCATCCCAGCTAACTGAAAAAGACCACCCTCCTCACAAATATTCCAAGATAGGACCTTCTCCATCCTTTTTCATGATTCCCAGGATACTCCCTTATTTACCTGCCTCTGTAAATCCCCTGGTCCATCTCTGTTTCTTTAAGATACTCATTAATGAGCATTTTCCTTCTTGCAATAGCCTGAATAATATCATAGCCCTAATTGTCCAGAGTGTTTGTCTTTCATAATATTATTAAATTCCGGGGCTAAATTTTGGAAAGCAGGATATTTTGGAAAGCAGGAAAGACATGTTTGCTTTAAAAAGTACTCCAGCCAAAGTTAACTTCAGAGCACACTTACTATAATGTAATTGGTCCATGAACTTTTTAAGTGCAGAAATATCGATGAGGTTGTGGAAATAATGTACAAATGAAGTTCCGACGCCTTTCTCTCTAGGTTTGGGTTGCTCTGTAAAGGGGAGGCCAGGGAGGAATTTCCTGAGTAAAACTCATTTCCGTTCCCATTGCACTTGAAAGGGATTTCACTCAGAGAACCTTTGTGATCTGAAAGTCCCTTGGGTTCTTTTGTGTTGTTTGTGCGAGATGGCAGGGTGACAGCCTTTCCCGTAGCTGATGTGGACTGATAGCTCCACCTGGAGGGGGTGGGTAAGGGTCGCAAGGCACTTTGGCCATGAAGAGACAGCTCCTTGAGGTCTGAAGGACAGAAGGTTGAGTCTGTGGATGGTGTGCATCTCTCCTGGTGGTACCTGTCAGGCAGAATGTAGTGGTAAACATAATATTCGAAACTTAACAGTAAGGGACAAAGAGAATCTGGTGGCCCAATTGCAGCAGTTTAAGACTTTGAAAGTAAATAAATATTTTCACATAAAAGAAATACTTTTTTTTTTAATTTTAGAAAGAGAGAGAGAGCAAGGGGGAGAGAGAATCTTATGCAGGGCTTCATCTCATGACCGTGGGATCATGACCTGGGTTGAAATCAAGATTATCCTCAACCACCTGAGGTACCTACGTGCCCCAAAAGGAATGCTTATTAGGAGAAGGGAGTGATTTAATCTCACTTGCTTACCCTACCTAGTGGGTAGACTTCTTCATTATACTTTTCTGCTTTCAGAAATAAAACTGTACCCAGTGATATTTAAAGAAGCATTTTCTATATTTAAAGTATTATGCCTGTCCTCCACCAAACCCCAACATTTCCAATGTAAGAACTTTTCATTCTGCCTTTGAAACCTGTCTCTTCCTTTATTGGGCAATTCTAATGGATCCTATGAAGAAAAACTATTCACATGGAGATATGAAGTGAGGTTTTTTTAATGGTGTTTTCTTTGATTGCTAATACTCCTGATTTTCCAGTGTAATTCTAATAGCATTAGCACGTTTTTCAGAATCAATCTGTGTTCCACCCTCATCTTCCCCATTCTCCACCTTACCATGACCATTCCTCTACTCTGCTGCACGAGGAAGCAAGCGGTAGAGGCTAAGACGTTGTAGGGTCTGATGAGATCTAAGTGCCGATGATTGTGGCTTTGCCCCTCAGTGATTATGTGACTTTGGTTGACCTAAGCTTCAATGTCCCAGTATTAAAATAGGAACCTATAATAGCACCAATCTCAAAAAGTTTCAGTGGAGCTTAAATAAGAAATTGCATGTAATGTGTTTGTAACACTGGAAACACTCAATAGGTGCTTAGCTGTTAATACTATCCTGTATTGCCTTGAATTGCTGGTTTATCATTTTATAGTAAAATACATTGTCTCCCTTATAAGATTAGCACCTTCATGAAAGTGGAAAGCCACTTTGTCTTTATTAGTCCTCAAATTAACTTTAAACAGGTACAAAATTCATTCATCATCTATACAGTATTATGAACTGAGTTGAGTTCCAGGCCACAGCTCAGTGTTGCAGGTACATGTGTACACACCCACATAAAGTGGTCACCCCAATTTACTCATCCAAGTTCCGTCCCCCTTCAACAGGCACCCTTTCCCAAACCCTCAGGCTTAAAGATATGCACATTGGTACTGCGGTCCCAGAGTGTGATCTGCAGATCTGGGAAGGATCTTGAGTGTGATCTGGAGATCTGGGAAGAAAAGCACGAGAGCACCCCTTCCTACCTGCACTCTTGCCCTGTGGACCAGCACATGGCATGGCCAGATTTTAAACACAAGAACAAATTACTGTATATGACCTACAACCCCTAAATGCTGCTCAGTAATTCTCTTACCTTATCTTATTTTTTTTATAGGATTCTAGTACTATGTAACCGTATTATCAAAGTGTCTAAGAATAAGATGATCACGCTAGGATTTTCAGGTAAATGAGTATGTCTGGCTCAGAAATAGATGATATATACTCCAATCCTCTTTCTAAGGAAGTAATTTTTCTTTATTCCTGCAGATAACCTATTCTAATATTTTCTCTATGGAAACTGAAGAGAGTTAAATAACAAGTGTGTAGATTGTGTTACATAATGTTATAAAATTATGTTAAAATGGTCCTTTTAGGTATGATATGTTTTTCATGTAAAAGTTCAGCAAAATGGTTTTAGGTACTTACAGAAAGTCTCACTTGAAGTGACTGTTATTTATTCAGTTATATGGGAAATCTAGAGATAAAAAGGGTTTCTAAAAAGGATTACCTTTTTGGAAGAATACATGTAAATGCCATGGAAATTGTAGATTCACCAGTTAAGTAAGCCAACTTATAAACTAAACTGTATTCTTCATTTGAAATTCAGCAATACCCACCTCTACTGGTCTGAGTAAAGAGTAATTCATTACTAAGCAAGAGTTCTAAAACCTTGAATTTGCACACATGTCAACTTCATATTTACAGAACTAAGTTGCTAAAAGTTTCGCTAATGAGCTGAGTGTGTATCTCTAGGGAGAGCCCAGCCACATTGGAGGAAGAGACAAGAGAAGTAGGGAAGAGAACTCCAAAATCAAAAGTATGCACAAATCACTTTGTCTTCTTCCTCCCTATGCATCAAGGATAAACTCCTTGAGGCTAAAAATGTCAGGTCACAGTCCACAAAATGGCAGGCAAAGTGGAACAGCTTCACAAAAACCTGTTAGGTGCAAGTTCAGCTAAGAATGAGAAATACATATATGCTAACATACTGATACTCTATCAAGAAATGAAGAAAAATGGTAACTTAGAAAAAATGAGTATTTGATTTAAGAAATTCCTAATAAGGATAAGAAAGAAGTTACATGAATAAGAAATGGAAGGTTTAGTTTTCATGGAGAGCTCAAAACCTATCACATCAAAAAAGATGGTCAGATTAATATGCCAGAATATAAGAAACAAGCAGAACAACAGAGAACAATGTTTCTTCTATAAGAAGTCATATAGACCTAGATCTCAGGATTCAGAATTTGAGCTCTCTTGAATAAAACATTCCCCCATGAACATTCTGCTAAAGCAGAATTGGTAAAACATAAGCAACTCTATGTGGAAAAATTAATTCGAAGTTAGAAAATAGTTCTCAGATACCTAAGCATAAGTGAGAGGCTAACAGTGACCAGTACCCAACTCTTGTGGTCATGTGACCCAGAGTCACACAGCATAATATTCAAAATATCCCAGATGCAATCCAAAATTACTTGACAGGGGGTATCTGGCTGGCTCAGGGGTGACGCAAGCAACTCTTGATCTCAAGATTGTGAGTTTGATCCCCACATTGGGCATGGAGCCTACTTACCAAATAAAATAGAATAAAATCTTTAAAAAACAAACAAACAAACAAAAGCAAGGGCATTTGGATGGCTCAGCTAGTTGAGTGTCTAAATATTGATTTCAGCTCAGGTCATGATCCCAGAGTTGTAGAATCAAGCCCTGAATTGGACTTCACACTGAATGTGCAGCCTGCTTGGGATTCTCTCTCTCTCTCTCTCTCTCTCTCTCTCTCTCTCTGCCCTTCCCCTGTTCTCTCTTTCTCTAAAATAAAAAATGAATAAAAATAAAAACAAACAAAACCACAACAAACCAACCAAAATCACTTGATATTTGAAGAGCCAGGAAAATCTCAATATCTTACGAAGAAAAAGACAATGAACAGATATCAATACAACGATGACAAAGATGTTGGAGTTTTCAGATAAAGACTTTAAGGCAGCCATTATAACCATGCTCTAATAAATAAGAGTGGAAACCCTTTTGAAACAAATGGAAAGATGGAAAGTCTCAGCAGGGAAATAGAAGATATAAAAGGGTGGAACCTGACTGGCTCAGTCAGTAGAGCATGTGACTGTTGACCTCGGGGTTGTGAGTTCAAGCCCTATATTGGGTGTGGAGCCTACTTAAAAATAAAAATAGGGGCACCAGGGTGGCTTAGTCAGTTGGGCATCCAACTCATAATTTCAGCTCAGGCCATGGTCCCCGGATCATGAGATCTAGCTCCGTGTTGGGCACCGTGCTGAGCATGGGGCCTGCTTGAGACTCTCTCTCTCTCTCTCTCTCTCTCTGCCCTTCTCCCCCACTTACACACTCTCTCTAAAAAAAAATAAATGAGATAAATAAAACCAACAAGCAAATTCATATATAGAATGAACAAAGCAATTCTGCTCCTGAGTATCTATCCCAGGGAAGTTTTCAGACAGATCCATAAAGAGAGGAAAGGAGGAGGAAAAAGGAAGAGGGAGAGTGATAGGGGAGAATGAATATTGATTCCACCCTGATGCTCAATAAATGTATCTTTATATTTTTATAAATGTATCTTTATATTTTTATAAATGTGTAATTGAGCAATAAATATTTGTTAATAATGATAAGCTATGAGCAAATTATGTACACAAGAATATAGCTATTTAATGTGTTCAGAGCCAATTTTGAGAATGATGAAGACATAAAGACCTATTTTTTTTTTATGTCTTTATTTATATTTTGAGAGACAGAGACAGAGAACAAGCAGGGGAGGGGCAGAGAGAGAGGGAGACACAGAATCTGAAGCAGGCTCCAGGCTCCGAGCTGCCAGCACAGAGCCCAACGCAGGGCCCAAACCCACAGACCGTGAGATCATGACCTGAGCCGAAGTCGGACACTCAACCAACTGAGCCACCCAAGGCACCCCAAAGACTTATTATAAAAACAGTTTCTGGAGGCCTTGAATCTTTTCTCTTGAGTTTCTAAACATTCTGGATTCATGTACTTACCCATATAGTATATTTACATAGACAAAAGACTGGTCCTTCAATAGAATTATAACCTACTGTGCAAGAAATTCTTAGAAAATTAATATAGATGGTACCTTATCCCAAATAATTGTACAATAGCATTTTTATTTTTTCAAATACAGTAGCATTGGGATGCCTCGGTGGCTCAGTAGTTAAGTGTCCCAACTCTTGATTTCAGCTCAGGTCATGAATTCAGGATCCATGATCCATACTCAGTGTGGAGCCTGCTTAAGCTTCTCTCTCTTGGGTGCCTGGGTGGCTCAGTTGGTTAAGCCTCTGACTTTGGCTTAGGTCAGGATCTCACTGCTTGTGAGTTCAAGCCCTGCTTTAGACTCCATGCTGACAGCTCAGAGCCTGGAGCCTGCTTCAGATTCTCTGTCTCCATCTCTCTCTGCTCTCTTACTCTCTCTCTCTCTCTCTCTCTCTCTCTCCCTCTGCCCTTCTTCCTTTTTCTCTCTCTCTCTCTGTCAAAATACATGCATTCATACATACATACATACCTCTGGTAGTGTTATTAGTGAGAGTAGGAAAGAGGAAAGTTATTATGTCGCAAGTCTTGATCAAGGATTCTGAGGATGCTGAATAAATTATTGCTTAGTGGCTGACATACTGATAATTAGCAATAACAAAAGAGCTAAGTTTTAATAAGGACTAAATGCCACACACAGTTTAAGCACTTTACATGTAAATGATTTAGACCTCACATATCATCTCTGTGATGAAGGTACTATCATGAGCTCCATCCTACTCGTGAGGAGTGAAGTCTGGGACGGTTAAGTAGCCAAAGGCACAGTCAGGATTTGAGGTCAGCCAGTGTCGCTATACAACATGCATGTTTATGTACTAGACAGAGAGAAATTGCACAGCTCCCTCTCCCTATTTTCTATCTAGAAGTGCTGCTTCTTAGAGAAAAATATAAGGCTCACATTCTTGGGTTTTATCCCCCATTCTGTTTTGCTAATGGTGTGCAATTAAGTGCAGCACATTCTCATTTCATTGGATTATCAGCTCTACCTCTGTTTATTAAACAGATCAGTTTCTCCAAAAGCTCATCCTTTCATTTGCCATGCACTGTGGTTAGAAACTCTCCTTTTAAATTTCCGTTAGCCAAATATCAGTAGAAGCTACAGATAGATGTAAATTCAGATCGGAATCCACCCTGGTGGGTATAGACATACCAGACCTGATCTGGGAGCTAACCACTGGCACAATTTCTTTTTCCTCACGGATTATTCAAGGTGAACTCAATTAAATTTATATAAATCTTTCTCTGAGCTGGCACTGTAAAAGTGTTCTATTGATCTCAGCCTTCTTCTCTGTTTCTTTACACTCACAAGCAATATGCAGTCTTTTGTTTTCCCCCTGCAGCTTTAGGGAACTCTTAAGTAGGTCACAGTACTCTGTTTCTACCTGAAATATCTCCTTCGGTTTTCTCCAGTAAAATGCATATGAGAGCACGGAACTATCAGCTAATGAAGAGCTACACTAAAGACAGAGAAACCTGAATCTCATTATCAGAGATCTCTAATCTGTTTTCCATCCCATAGGTGTTAAAAGATCTGTTGTTTACTATTACCCTGAAAAGCAATCATACTTATGTAAGTCTGATGTCCCAAGGTAACTGTATGCTTCTTACGACCTGCGGCTTCTCATAATTAGGCCTAAAACTTTACACCTCAGAGGTGTTTCAGAGCTCTGAACATGATAACATTCTTTAGTCCTCTAATTACTGTTTTTTTATCCTAGCCTACTCTGTTTACGCTTTTGACTCCTGTGCTTAATTATGGAGATGAGAGTGCTAGAAAACTATTGGACAGATAGCAGACCTAGCTCCCTCCTCAGCCCCTTTGTTTGGAAACTACTCCTTCCCTCCACACATGGAGCACACAGAAGCTGTTGTGTTCTTAAAGACTGACCTCTTGGCTATGGGGGACATTTTTCATCAGTGACTCATTTATTCAAGCTAGGCATCAGAAACCTTCCCAGGATTTTTAAATTGTATGCAAGAAACTGTGTGAGTTAGCCTTTGTCTGGTGGTAGGAGCTGTAAAATATGAATTTAAGACAGGCAAAATGTGAATTTAATAACTTTGTTTATTGCACCTTGAAAGACATGGTGTTCAGTGAAAAAAAGTGAAGC